GGTCGACAATGGTGGCTAAGAAACCTCCATGGTCTCTCAAGGACCAGCTCTTTCTCATTGACCAGTGCGTCTTCTCACACTGTTCAGTGGGTCCGTATGTATAATTATAGCCTAACGCAGCAAATTTTCATGAGCGAAATTTAACGGAATTAATTCCACCCATAGCATGTGGAAGTAACCACCATCACTTTTCACTTTACATACCCACACGCATTTTTCACAGTAAAATTTTTCGGGAAATTTACGAGGAAAATTGGTGAAGATTTGGGATCCAAATTTTACCCTTCTCTCTCTCTCTCTCTCTCTCTCTCTCTGTTGCTGCAGACACTGGATAGCTGTGTACGGACAAGTCCTGCAGCAGCACGTGAGAGGTGTCAGCACCCAACTCTTACACACTCTCAGAAACAGACCAGGTATGCAGTAGGTGACTGGAGAGGAACTGACTCAATACGAAGAGCGAAACTGGCCTTATTAATTTCTTTTTTTTCGCTGGTGCAATATGGTTTTGGTGTGCCACCCAAGTCAGCTGACTGCGTAACTGAGACGTTCATGATAACATAATCCATCGATCAATAAATTAATTATTTTTTGCAACAAAAACCAGTCTTGAACCTTGCAGTGATGTGTAAGGCAGAGCCTTCTGAAATACCAAAATAATTTCCTGCTAACAAACTTCATGAATTCGTGAATGTTTAGGGCAGCTCTTCTTGAAAAGAAAAAGCTGTCCTGGGTCTAGTTAAACTTGTTTGCCTTGCCTTGCCTTTCTACCTCATTACCAAGTTGTTGAGACATGCATACAGTACTAGCTGTTGGTGATTTGGGGCTCTGTTTGGCAGGTGTGATGACAGTGGACGAGGCTGTGGTGTTTGCCAGAAGATCCATGTCTCTCGTCCAGGGCTTCAGCGGCTGCAAATACTGGTGAGCACTATATACCTGCATTACATCATGCAGTAATCAACCAATCGCATCCTCTCTTACCGTCACGTGTTCCCCCACCTGCAGTTCTGATAGCATCCACAGTGCAATATCGAGACTCAACCTCGTCACTAACAGACTCCAACTGATGAAGCAGCAGCCGTTGTTGGGTGGGGCAGGCCTGTTGACGGGTGGGGCAGGTTCGGGTGGTCCCCACTTCCCACTGCAGAGTCCGACCACACCCAATCCTCACCAGGTACCGCCCATCCACCAGGGAGGAAGCTCCATCTTGATTTGACGGAAATGAAACACCTCGTAACTAGATCAGGCTCATGTTACTGCATCACTACCTATCTTTTGGAGTGGACATTACTACTTGTTTTGCTATAGTATCTGAGTTTTGAGTTACATTTGTTGCAATTTTTTCACATGCGCACATGCATCCTGATAGCCCTAACGAAAACGAGTTTTTAGTGGCAGAATTTTAGTAAGAAAATGTTTGGTGCACATGCATACTGATAGCCCTAACAAAAACAATTTTTAGCCTTTTGTTCTTTTTCCGCAGCCACCAGTGGCTCTGGTATCACCCATTGGCCCACAACCAATCACACCCCTCATCCCCACAACCGCCTCCAACATACAGCCCGACCATCCCTCCTCGTCTCTCCCTCTCCTCACCCCCTCCTCCTCCCTCTCTCTCCGCGACAAACTGACAATGGTGGCCCAGACTCCACCTACTATTCCCCCGCGACAGCTGGAGTGGGCGTTGGGATTGGTCCACGACAGCATTATCTACAGCCAGTCAGTAAAGGGTTAACTTTATGAGCAGTCAGTAAGGGGTTAAATGTACAGCCAGTTAGTAAAGGGTTAAATGTACAGCCAGTCAGTAGTAATGGGTTAACTGTACAACCAGTCAGTAAAGGGTCAACTGTACAGCCAGTCAGTAAAGGGTTTAATTCAGCAATTACGTAATGGGTTAATTTAACAGCCAGTCAGTGGTGGGTTAATTCTACAGCCACTCAGTGAAGGGTTAATTGGCAAGCAGGGTGACTCCTCATTATACATCTTTACCCAGCTTACGTTGGTTCCTATGCATAAGACATATGCGTATTACGACACATCCCAGGGGGGAGAGGGGGGGGACACTCTGTTCATCACGGAAGAGCTTGATTTGCATGTTTTGCCAGTTCTCAAAGCCTTAGACCAGTGGGTTGTGTGGAGAGGCGATGAGCTATGCTAGTCACTCAGCCCGATCGCTCGTATATCTCCTCCGTGTATGGGACATCCTTAGAATCACCCTTCCATTACAATCACCCCCACTGCATTTCACTATTGAAGTGCCAGTGTTTTCCACGTGTATGGCTGCCTACAATTTCCAACTACATGACCACAAGCATGGCTCGTGTTACCTCAAGTGATGCTAAATCGTCACCAGAGAGCATGGAGGTAGGTTGGTTGGTTGGTTTACAACACTTGCGTAGGTGTGGGTTGTATGTACCTGCGTCATTATTATCTTCCTGCTTACTTGCGGTTGATGGCATGCGTAATGACTTCATTTTGGCTAACAATCCATGCCCCACTCACCAGCACTACTGTTTACATTTACGCACTGTACACCTCATATTGACTCACTATTATTATTATATATACACCCCTCAATTAATTACATACCCCCTCGACCATCATCACCCACCACCAGGAGCCTAGTCCAGGAGACGCTGAGCTCTGTCCAGACTCCCGCAGACCGAGCCAACGTCTGTCACTTTGTGAGACAGGTCGTGGAACTCCTCTCCCATATTGTCTCCAGCCTCCAGAGGTTTGTAGTTACTTTCTACCTTCTCTCTTCACTTTGCTTGCCTCCCTCATTCACTCATCTCTCCTCACCCTTTCTCCATCTCTACCCCCGACTCCACTCTCCCTTGCTCCCCTAGTGCCTGTTTCTCTTCCCCCCTTCTTCTGCTCTTGTCTTCTCCCCTCTCTCCTCTCTCTTCCCCCCTTCTCCTCTTGTCCTCACCCTGCTTACCTTCCCTATACTGCATCTCTCCTAATTTGTCCGATCCTCTCCACCACAGTTTGTTGGAAAACAACACCACCATTCAAAGGGCTCACGACTTCCTCACTGCAATCGACTTTTTTCTCTCTCGAGTAAAACAAAACACAAAACATATCCCCACACCCCCACATATTGTTGTGAGTGTCTCGTGTATCTATGCAGGCTTGCCAAGTAAACAGCCCACTTACAATCAACACATTCTTTGAACTCCTGCTCATGAAGGAACAGAGGTGAAATGCTCCAGACTCTGCCGTTGTTTTATTTTTGCTGTTTCCTTTAAATTTTCCCCTAAACCACAGTGCAACCGTTTATAATGGACTCTTGTGTATGATAGTTTGAATGAAGTACAAATTTCATGGTCCCCTCTGTGTTCTTTATTCAGAATTTCCAGTTTATATTATAGTTGCACGGTGTCTGTTTTTCAGCCTGGTGCGCTATATACCTTATTCTGAGGTTCCACTGTATACTTTGCTGTGTTGTCTGCCTGCTTGTTGTTTCAGAGAGCTACTAGAGACGGCTCTGGGGACCTTCAGCAACATGCTGGCTCAACTGAGGAGTGTTGACACCAGCTTCGAATCCTGACCATCGCCTCCCTCTCTACCTCCCTCACTCCCTCCTCGACCTCAACCATTCACATCGACCTAGTAGCTCCCCTAGACTTGCATGTAGTCTGTAGCAGCACCTGTTGCTTGCAGTGTTTTTGAAACTTCAGCTCTCACCATTCATTACTGCCGATGATTGTATGTGTATGCATATATCCATTGCTTTCCCTTGTACTGAAGCACACTCTTATTGTGCAGAATGTTAACTTTCACGATTGTGTCATATTGTGTAAAACTCCTTATAGTAGAGAAAGCCTTTGTAATAGCGTGTAGTGTGTGTGTGTGTGTGTATGTATGGTAAAAGCCCTTGGTAATTCCCAACATACTTCCTTTCATTATTGACTGTCTCAGCAGTAGTGGGTACTCGGTGGTAGGTGGTACTTCCTCACTAAGTATTCTCAGCTAGAGGCTCCATACATGGGCAACAGTCTATAGAGTGTGTGTGGAGTGCGTCACCCTTGAAGCCTTGCATTTGGTGCATGAATCACGAGGTGGAAAACACAAGGCCTCAGACAAAACTCTTCAAAGAGCTACCTTGGGTCATGGGACACCGACGAGAGCTCTACCACTGAGCTACCAGGGCAGCTCAGCAGGCTGGGCTCAAAATCTGCATTACACAACAAAAATGAGGCGAAGGCAGACTCGTATACCCCGCATTATCGCATTCAAGATGAAAGGGTGGCTGGCAGTGTTATCAACCTACATGCTTGACCAGCAGTTATGGTGCATAATAATTATAATACTTTGATCAGCAGTTAATGCCTTTTGTGTGAATGTCAACAACATGCCATATACTGGAAAGCCATGCATTACATGTGTGCTCTCTCTCTCTTCCTGGGTGTATATACTGTGATGAACTTAACAAGAACAGCAAAAAGCCACTGTCCCTATTGTCACCATCAATTACGTGTGCATAGTGATCCAATTAAACTCCTAATTGATCACCAACCTGCCATGGGCAACTTTCCCCAAGCTAGTCACGTCTAGCCATTCCCGACAGTATCAGACATCACAATTCAATGGCACATGACTTAGCTTTAAATTTCTAATTTGTTTGCAATTTGTTTTAGGTACGTATGCATACCATTTGTGTTGAAAACCAATTTACTTCAGGGGTTAACCTCATTTGCAAAATAGGCATGCGGGATGACCTCTCTATATTTGGTTTTGAACGATCTTGTATCTATGGCATTGCTAGGGACAATGCTCTAATGCTACATGGTATTTGGCACGCGAGGTAAGAATAATGTGTACAGTTGAGACGCAATGGCTCTGTACTATACCCGAGGGACAGCTCAGGGGTTTTTAGCACTGCAGAACTGTTTGTGACGGGAGAGCATGACATGCAAGATCTTGGGTGGGTTTAAGTGTGTGGTTACATTTCCGTGGAACTGGAAGTTTCAGCCCCTGAGTGACGTGTTGGTCTAGTCAGTCAGTGATTTTCCCGTCTGTTGCTGCAATGCTCTGCACACGTGGCCCTTGTTTTGCTCTGCTCTGATTTACTAATCATATCGGTGAGTAGCCTTCGATTGAGGTGTGAATGTGTGTCTTGTGCCCACTAAGATAGCTATCCATTAGTATGCCATGCATAGCTGAAATAATAACTTAACATATTATAGTCATATTATGCAATTAGTCTCTTCAAAGTTCAAAATCCTTCACCCAATTTGGACGTCTATATCCCGTCTCTTAATGAAATTATTGGTGTTGGCCTACTTTGGGTTATTAGGAAATAGAGCAGGGACAACTGTGTGTGTGTGTGTGTGTGTGGTAAATGGTGAACAAACGGCTTCTGCTTTCAGACCTGATTCTGCAATACCACTAGTATAGCTACTGCAACGATGCTATATATGTACAGCGAATGCATTGAACAGAGGCTCAGGCGAGGGAGGTTGTGGAAGCCCTGAAGAATCCATGAACTAATCACCACTCGCCTCAGCCTCCGCACATGGCGAGACACTCGGGCAACGGCTGTGTCACACGAGCAAAGCAAGAATGCTGCAAACTGCGTGCAGAATGCACACTGATACATTCGAGCAGGATGATTGTACAAAAAGCTGCGGTCTTGGGAGTAAGTCTATTATTCACTTCATCACACTTCACCCACACACTTCATTGTATGCCAATAAACGGAGCCGGACGTAAATGACTGAAGATTGTCTCAAAATCAGTCTTGCCTTGTGAACGTGACTGTCTATTGAATTATAAGTCAATGGATCGATGTTAGCCACAATGTAGCAATGTCTTTTGGACTGAGGTCAGTGTTTGTTAAATCTGGTTCCAAGGAATCTGCCTGCATGTGAAAATACGTAACCCGTGATTTGATTTTAACGGCCATTCGACTTGCAGTTATTTTGACCCTTTGAACCCTACCCGCTTGAAGGCACGCACCACTCTCCGGCAATACATAGGAGGTGGCCATCGCTCTGGAATGTCTAAAAATTGTCTACTATATACGTCTAGCTCACTTGCACCTTTTACACAAGTCTACCTAAGCAACATGCAATGCATATTAATGGTCCTTGAACGTCTTTGCTTGCTCATGCATGCAACACAGACAGAACACACATAGCTACTGGTGGCTGATTCCAACCAGTAGTTTAACAGTACGGTGTAAAGTGCCATTCCAACGTAATAAATATGCACGTCTCCTTAGTACCAGCACTTTTGGGGGGTGAATTAGACTCTTGGGAAGTGAAGCCTTTACAAGGGGGGACTAGCATGCCAGCATTGTCTTTCACGTGGTGCTAAATCTGTAGTGTGTCCATGCCCATGTGTGCGGAGGATTGTAGTTACACAATGAGAGCAATGGTGATGACAGCAGGGAAAGCAACACTGGACTATTAGCTTATTTAGACAATACGTATCTCACAATACATTAGGCAATGGGAAGTCAGTAGGAAATTTGCACCTTGTCCTGATTCTCTCTTGGAGATTTACTGCTTCGAGTTGGTCACCTTTCCCTTCCTCCCAACTGTCCAGCTTCCAGTTGCATACAGGGCTTGAAAGGTCTTGGCTAAATCTAGAACTGCTGTTGAAAAATACAGCTGTGTTTACTCTGCACGTGTGTCTTGGTGGACATCGGCTGGCAGAGAGAGATGAAAGAGTAAGGTTATGCGCTCTTGGCTCCAGGCCCGACAGACAAATTGAGCCGCTCCTTACACGGCAGGGAATAGTTAAAGAGCAGCCAATCTACTCGAGCTGTTTATAAATGCGATTCCAAGCATGCTCTGTATGATATATGTACGTATATTATACAGGTTATGTTGTGTGCAGGCAGAGTAGCCTGCTCTGGACACCACTAGCAATGTCTGTCCAAGAAAACAGAACTCAGCCCTTTCAGTATGGTGTTGTGCAGACATCACTATACTCAAGCTTCTAAACCCCGATACACGAAGAGGCCTAAACAGCACTGTTCACTAAATATTCTCACTGATTGGGGGACATTTCATGCATACCAACTAGACTGTTCCCTTACTAATGGAGCAGATCTGAGTAATCATTCAAACATGGGAAGGTACATTTCAATTTACGCCACAGAGGGAGGGTGAAGTTATGTGTCACTTGTCAAGGTCGAACTGACAATAGATCGTATTGCAGTGTGATGTATAGCATCCAAGATAGAGATTATGAGGAAAAATTTTTTTCCTTGGAAACGATATAATTGGTAGTTGTGGTGTAAGCATCACGGGAATAAACCACCATTGATTCACTTGTAAGGGCAAAATGCTCTACGTTAACCCATGAAATCTGGGCAACCCGCTCCTTTTAAATGTAATGAAGACCTTGGGAAAAGCTCGACAGGATGAAGAATGTTCTTATTGGCCTGGAATGCTGTTCAGGTTTCAGGACATTATGCAGCAGCAATAGGACACAACCTATGGCTTTTGGTGGTGGGTATAATGACCATGGAATTTTGCAAAATTATATCATAGCATCGCAGCAACTTGTGCAACGCTGGACTTATGTAAAGACAACCAAAGAAATAGCAAAATCTGTTGGTAAAAGGCAGATCAAAGCAGTTTCAAACACCAGCTAGCTACCAATGCCTATATATAGCTTTGCTCTTTCCCTTATTGTGCAAACCATGCGCCGCCTTGCATCTTATTGTCACCAAACATTCAAACATTGCAGCGGCGTGATGACAAATACTGCGTGCTAAGAATAGACACTGGCATCATATATTTTAGACATGTTGAATCCAATTCTTCAGTTTTGGAAACTGTTGTGCACACACAATACATACAATGGCATATTTGACAAACAAAATATCTGACCGATCATAGCATCATGATAATAATAATAATATGACCAGAAAATGAAGCTGGTGTTCAGAGCACAAGAATGACACACACAGACACATGCACGACAAAAAGGGATATGTCGGGGAGTCAGAGGATGTGATTGTAGTTCAGAAGAAAGTTCCAAACAGTGCCAGTCAGTGACTGTTGTACTTGTGTCATGTTTGCATCCAACATTTCGCTTCCACACATCAGATGTTGAACGCTAAGTGTTCCTCTGTTATTGATTTGTCAGCGTGTTTCGTGAGCAGTGTGGTATACCTGGTCTGTGAACAGTTTGTGTGCTGGGGACAAGAGCCAGGCAGTCTCAGAGCTCTTGTTCCTTTAGTAGAGATCTCATTGCTGGCAAGTGGCGGTGGGTGATGAGGACAGAGTCGGACATTATGGAGATGACAGAGTTTCGTTTTCTGGAAGTTTCTGCTGGGTCCGCGTGCCGCGACGACAAATCGTTCCGGATGACGTGTGGGATCTGGGACAGGCTCTTTGCTCTACCAGTGGGCGGGGCTAGTCTGAGTGTGTTGTTTGGTAGACAGTATACCTTGGTGTCAGTGGTGGTCGAATCTGGGATTGTTGGCTCGGGTTCCTCCGAGATGGACGCGTAGGAAGACGGTCTGGAGCGCTGGACTGGGGTGGAGCGTCGCAGAGTCACCTGCCCGTGGGGTCTCGCCTGTGGTTCTTCAGCCTCCTCTTCCAGTTCCTCCCGGTGCGTGTCTCTGCCTAGCTCACTGTCGTTCTCGCTGATGGACTGGAGTCCAGAGAGGGAGGGAGAGTGGTAGTTCTGAAATGAATTCGAGCGATGCATCCGCATTTTGTCCTCGCGAAGCTGGCTGTAGAGCCGGTCCTGGTGACAAAGTGGGGAGTAGCATTCTGGCGTGCTCACGTAGAGCTCCTCCACAGAGCTGGACAAGTCTTCAACTCTCTGCGATATGTCGAGGTCTTCTGATTTGAACTGAGCCTGTAAGAAAAGGAAGAAAGAGAGACCTCTAAAATGGCGTTGCAAATTTACACTAAATGCTTGTGGTGGATACACTGGAGGAAAGGTTTTAGTTTCATTGTTACTTTAGTTCACACTTACCAGTTTCCCATTGATTTCCGCGAGCTTAGCGTCCAAGTCCTCGCAGCTGACATCCGGCTCGCTCTCGTAGACCGGTCTCGCGAAGGAGGATGCGGACTTCTGCCGGCGAAACGAGCCCGTGAGCGCGCTGGCGAACCGGCTGCCGATGGAGCCGCGACGGGACCGCACGAGCGGCGACGGGATGGTCGGGCTGGTGCTGGAGGTGGACGCGGTGGACGGGGAGGTGGGGACGGGAGCGGGAGCGGGCGTGGAAGCGACTCTCCCAACGATGCCCTCCTGCTGCGAGAGGATCTGCTGAAAGAACGGCGCTAGTTGCTCGTAGCTCGAGAAACGGCGCATGTCGGCCTTGGAGTTGGGGAGCGAGTACGTGTCGTAGACGCTGATCGAGCCGCGGCGGTCGGTGAACTGCTCCATGGTCGTACTGTTGCGGCGCTTGAACACATCTTGGATACCGCTGAGCGGTAGTAGAGTGAGCATGCCTGCGTTGCTGTTCAAGTGCTTCTACTTTGACTGGTAACAATGCTCGTGTCTACTTTTGGTGCGCGGATGTGTCCGCGCGCATTTATACATTGCGTTCCTACGCAGTTATTTCATCGCCACCCACGCAACGCGCTACGTTACGCTAGCACCAGTCACGCACCACACAACGACACATCGTGTATATATACAGCATAAGTGATTGGGGAAATAACGAGTGATTAAATGTCAAGTTCTTCAATTGAAGTCGTATAAATATTGCACCAGATCAAATCCAACAGTCCTGTGAAAGGGACGAGGAAGAAAGCGAAAAAAAAACCTACCCTACACACAATTCCTAGCTACCTGACTTTCTAACACCAGGTTATGTGCATGCACATTTATGGACAGTCTGTGAAAGAGGTGCCAGTAGCTAATACGAATGGTGAACGGAAACGTGTAAACATTGAATTGTGCCAATGAACAGTTGCGGTTCTTTACAGATATGGAGATGTCACCTGTAGGCACGCTAGAGCAAGGGCAACAGTTGGCAAACTAGGCCTGCAAAAGTCCGCCAACTGACCTACTTATTGGCAATCGAATGAACACTTACGGCTTTGCATGAGTGTTTACTAGCAACGGCAAGACCTTAGCTGCCGAGTGATGATGTAAACATGATTAATCGTGTTACGGTCATTGAAGGAAAAAGCATTATTGAGAGGTGTCCACTTCTGACTTTGATGGCCAGTTCCAGCTACTACAAGACAGCCGTTAGAAATTATACATAGGTGTGGGTGTATATACCTTGCAACCTGGCGTACTGCATCCAGGGTCATTAGACACTGCAGTAAATGGGACATATTTCTGTCAGTATGGAATCCTTAAATGCTGCACTTTCTAAGAAGCTACGTGTAAAACATAGAAGTGTTTAGAATAAATACACGACATAGTTTACAACAAATATTTGACCCATTGGGTTCCGAAATTTCTCAGGAAACTATGCGTATAAACAGAAAACCATCATTTCTATTTGGATATCCCCCAGTGACGTAGCTTGGTGCTACATAAAGACAAATCAAGCAATGAATCGTGACTACCATTGGCACCCTCACAAAGTTTCAATGCAAGGCCACTTCAAAAAACTATTGTATACTCACACTCGACAATCCGAGAGGGCTGTCCACGGTGTATATATAGCATTGTACACAAACAGGTCCATACAATGACCTGCAGGTACACCCCGACAAGTGGCTGAGTGAAGCCAACAGACGACAGACAAAGTGGGGGCCACTGTTTACGTGTCCGCAGAGACAAGGGCTGGGTGGTGGTGAGCTGCTTGCAGCTGAGATCTCACCAGAGCCAGAAGAATGCCGTCTTTGTCGCACCGAGGGACTCTGAGTCTGCAGCTCAATTAGACCATAGCGGGGCCCATCCCGTAACCATAATACTCCGGGTAATGTATATACATTGTGCGTAATGAGTTTCATCACAGAAGACACACATTGCCTCTTGTGGTGGGACAATATTTGGGGACAAAGTTTGCCCCCCCCGAATTAGCGACTAAGGATGTAGAATGAAACCAGCTTTTCTAGAAAGAGCTCGAGAGCCATTAGTTAATAGCATTTGGCCGACACCCCAGAGTCCAGCGCCAGTGGCCATCCCTTCGATTCACTGCTTAAGTAGTCACGTCTCTCCCAGGGTGAGTGCAAAGTCTTGGAGTCATTCCATGACCCGGAGTTCAATCAAAGCTTAAGTGGCCACACAGTCGTGCTGTGTATGCTGTAGCTATACACCTACTGCAGCATCCGACTGAGGGCCTAGAAGCCTCATTAAAGAAGGAACCTTTTGTACTTTCCTTCCGCCATTTTTAGAAGACACACCTTCAACTCTGAAAGAGGAAGCATAGTATATACATACATACCACTGTTTGCACCAGAGCCATGTCGGTATAATTGTAGTTCTATACAGCCTGGTGAATAGCGTACAATAAGGCCACGTCACCACTTTAACACAGGAAGTATATGTACCAGCGTGCTCACAAAGCCATGTTATAAGGCAAGGTGAATAAGTATATACCACACGTGCACTAAAGCATTGTCAGTCTTTCTCTAAAGGAAGGGTGAATAGTACTGAAGATTCTCTGGTGGTGTGGCAAGTAGCTAGAGTATTGAGTGTCAACAGAGAAGAGTGGAAGCCACCACACTTTCCCACCGGTGACTTTGAACTTGAGAGAAGCAGCACTATCTGGTTAAGGGTGTGTGCATGTGTGTGTGTGTGTTGGTCGAAGCGGCGTAGACACTACATGTGGGGCACCAGTTGTAGAACATACATACAAACACCAGCTATAGAAGTTCCGCAGACAATGACTGACAAGTCCAGACAAAGATTGCAAATACCCATCGACTTATTAAGAGATTGTGTGTGCCTCGGTGCATTGACAACGGGCTACTATTGAGAGACTGCCGGGCCAACTTTCAAAGAGACAGCGAGAGTTAGAATGTGATTGATTTCGTTGTCACCGACTCACGCGTAAATCTTTACCCAATCCCTTTCTGAGGTTTACAAACAACGATGGAAATTTCCCAGCGCCCATTTGGGGATGCATCTCATTTCAAACCCACACTGCAACCACAAGACATTGCAAGTTGATCTTGCACCAATGAATACAGTGTAGAATTTGACATAGCCCTGTAAAGGCACGTGCACGTGTGACAAACAGAGCGGCGAGTGGGAAGAAGCTACTGGGGGCATATGGCAGGAGGGAAGATTACATGGTCGACCGAGTTCGGTGAAAGCCAACCAAGACACATCATAACTCTCTGTTCAGTGGACATACGTGCGTGCTGTTGCCGTAACATCACCGGTCGCCCCTGGGCAACGTCCATGGAAAAGGAGTCTCGACATATGTGTAAGGGCAGGCATGCATGGACAGATCAAGGCATAGATGTCGGCCTACATACACTCGTAAGTAGCTTATGCAGGACTGGAATGCAGCTACAAATAGTAGATGAGCGTATCAGAAGCGAAATACCCATTTGTTGGTGGTATATAGGCAAGATGGTATGTGAAATATGCATGTAATTAGAGGAGGGATCATAATTTTTCAACATGGTGAATTACACGCACATACAAAACATAAGGATAGGGCACAGGTGCTGCTGTGAGCATTAGCTACTAGTGTAGCATTGTCCCAATTACAATCTTGCAATTCCACCGTTCCTCCGAAGTTTTATCCAACTGCTCATCTGCTGGTTCATCACACACATGCACACAGACATTTCAACAACACAAACACTGAGCAACACGAGGGAAATACTGGGCTGGCAAGATTATTTCGGAACGTCTTAGTTACCAACAAATGTTTTAGTGAGGAACTTTGACACTTAGAGAAATATTTAAACTCTTTGACTCCACGAAATTCCACTTGTAGTAATCAACAAGCCTATCAAATCTGAAAGTTTTTAAAATCAGATACGATGCAAATATACTGCCCAACTTCAACATACATTGGGGACTATAACTATACAGGCAGCATAGTATATACCTTATACTTTGGTCCATCCAGAAGGTCTTTAGTGTGCAGCTGACTGACCAACTGCAGTGTGACCAGCGAAGATATCTGAGACAGGGAGAAATATGGATGCTGATCCAACCGAAAAGGAAGTGTCCTGAAATTTTGGGTGTCCTGAAATTTCCGGTGTCCTGATTTTCAGGACACGGACAAAAGCTGTCTTGACCCTCGGGTGTCCTGATTTCAGGACACGGACAAAAGCTGTATTGACCCTCGTGGTGTCCTGATCTTCAGGACACGGACAAAAGCTGTCTTGACCCTCGTGGTGTCCTGATTTCGGTGGTTTCGAGGTACGTGACAGAACGTTGTGGCTCATTCGGTTCAGCTGTAGTGGGAGTACTACGTATAGATAATTGAGAACTCAGTGGGTTTGGGGTTAAAGAGCGGGAACACTAAACTGAACAACTAAAAACTCTCCCCTAGACACAGGGACACCCACGCTGTATGGATGGTAGCCTATATAACTGGCAGTGTCCAGAGAAAGAAGAGATCAATATGCTCTACTGATCAGACACAGCCTCACACGGCTGAGTTTACTGTAGACAAAGCAGGAAGTGAAGGAGTAAGTTCCTCACACACACACACAGTCTGACCTCCAAACTACACATCCATACATATAGTCAGTGCATTCCAGCCAGAGGTGTGTGGATATTGCTGATTATACCCCTGTCAGTCTCAACAGTGGTTGCTAGCACGTGGGTGAATCCCATTCCATGATATTATATCAGGGTGCCTTTTGACTCAAAGACAATAGTGTTGGTCCTCGACTTGGTTTTTGATGGCCCACCAATGAGTGCTCCATCAAGCATATCCTACACCTTACTGTTGCTTCTATTACAGGCAGACTGTGTGCATACAATCAACTAACACCCTAACACAGACAAAGCAAGCAGAGGAGAGCCTGCACAGAACAATACCATGTACTATGCAGACACAAGCCTGGGTGATCCAGACTAGATTTCTTGTCCGAGCAAAGTCATCCACCTTAGTCGTCTAAAACTGAGGTATTTTTGGTAAACGGGGTAGTTCATACCACAATTCTTTACATAATTCTTAAACGGCTGAAATTTCGCACTCGTAATCGGCTCCAAATGATGCGTTGCAATACTACAAAGGTTTTTTTGAGAGTAAGTGCTAGCACGGGTAGATCAAACCAAGTCATGGAGGTTAACTCAATTGCCCGCGATCCGGAGGAGTTACTCTGTAGGAACATTTCTTACCATATCAGCTGTAGTTCACATGCCGTCGTGTAAGTGCGGTTGCCACTCAAACAGTGGCTCCTATTCTTTGTGCGGGTGATGGTTTGATCGCTGCCAAATGTTTCAGTACACATTAAGCATTAGAATAGAGGGTACGCCTCACGCCACCTGTTTCCGTATTAACCCTTCTTACACAGGAAGAGTGCTTGGTCAGCCAGCATGCATGTATACTTAAACGAGGCCCCAAGGCAAATGCAAAAGCACTACTAACTACACCAATGCCTACTTGGAGCAATCTGTGGGTCTGGAGCTTGTATTACGTAACGTAGGATCTGCCGCTCCGCTACTCACACATACAGAAAATGGACCTGCAGGATAAGTCAAGGACGTCTTTTTAAAAAGGTCACACACAATGCAGGGAACTACAGCAGTGTCGTATACACGTTGACAGACCTAGGTAAAGTAAAGAGGGTGCAATATACTCTCTGGGGCAGTACCATCACTGGTGTCTTACAGTCTATCAGCCCGATCAAGACACCTCTGGTTAGCCCACACACACACACAATGCAGGGAACTACAGCAGTGTCGTATATACACGTTGACAGACCTAGGTAAAGTAAAGAGGGTGCTAATATACTCTCTGGGGCAGTACCATCACTGGTGTCTTACAGTCTATCAGCCCGATCAAGACACCTCTGGTTAGCCCACACACTTCCTCCACTTCAGAAGGCTGGGCCTCACTTTGAACATGCTCCATTGCTGCCCTCACTACAGACAGGTGGAAGAGGGATTAATTGGTTGTAGTCAAACACTTAAACACACACCTTTTCGGAAGAGCTTCCTCCACTCCATGCGACACCCACAGGTTGTCCCAGGACTAACTCTGATATGTAATGTAGCATTTTTGTACACCCCCCTTCCTTAATAAGTCTCTCATTTTGCTGCTTTGGTGCCTTTGCTGATCACTGGTTAGCATGACACTCTTGGCTACGTATGTTGTACCACAGATAACAACACTATTTGTACCTCTGAAACACATATATATTCAGGCAGCCATGATTATTCGGACTGATGGTTAGCATGTCACACATGTTACTTGTAGCTTTAGCTAGCTCAGCCCCCATCCTCCCTCCTCGGGATACAACATGACTGGGTTTGGGACAGGTGGCATGTAAATCAAAATGGCAGACATAACCGGCAATCAGCTGTAATAATAACACCCCAGGTTGGTAGTCTAACACTAATATACAGAGAGGGAGCATCTCCTTTTACCATAACCTGTACACACAGACTGTTAGATATTACCGGCCAACAGTTGATTTAAGGTAGCCAGCTAGTCAACATCCCTCTTGCATGTTTCCCTATATAAGGATTACCGTAACCTAGCTCCCTGTGCATATTGCTTATAATAATACCACATGAGCGGGACTACATAGGGTTTAGCTTACCAACCACATGTTTTCCGGCTGCCTGTTAGTGTTAAGGGTCACCTACACAGATCCTGTGCAAGTTGGGTTTAGAATAGCCACATGCTGCTAGTCAACACCTTGACTAGGTAGTATTTTCTTACGTAAGAGTCAATCATTATTTATCCACCAAAGACTGCAAAGAGTTACACATTTGAAAAAAAGATTGCCTGTGTGTTCTGTGCTATGGGACAAAGTGCAAAGGCACACAATCTCCATGTTGCACTGTTGTTGTAAAACTAAAGAGCTGGAGCTGAAATTCCGTGATAATCTTGAGCCAAGGCCGTCAGCTGCCGTTGATGGGTGCCACACATACATCAAGAATGTTATCAATACTTTGGTGAAAACCCATAATTTTATTACTGTGCGTGCAGAAGAGTACATTGAAGCACGACACATGTTGAATACTACGGCGGAACCCCTCTAATCCAGACACCAACGACGCATAATAAGGTAGTGAGGTGTCCTGTTAAATCACATGCATGAACCGTTTTGGGGGGAAAAAGTGGGTTTTTTCCCATCAGAGGTGGTCCTCATTTCAGGGGTGTCCTTAGAGAGGGGTTCCACTGTAATTCGATTCTGTGAAAGCCGACACCAAACAGGAAGGTGTCGTTCGGAATTTACATTCTCAGATGACTAGGCATCATCCCTGTGCCATTCATGAGAACATATGTTGGACACTTGTCAATCTTGGAGGCCGAGTTCTCATGTAAAGCATGTGTCCAAACGTGTCAACACTACCTCAAGGTGATCTATCAGGCGTACATTGGATGGATTATCTAGCTCATGACACATCCCTGGCATTTGTTGACACCTACATAGCTACCTTTTGAATATCCCAGGATTAATTACGTCATTCACAAGAAGTGGATATACGTAAGCATCTAGAAGGCACTTCATGTGCATCGTGCGTTTTAAAGGCTGTTGGTTAGAAATACAGTGGAACCTATTTCCAGAAATCAGGACACCAATAATAATTCTTGCTTCCTCTGAAATAAGGATGCCTCGCTAATATGGACACTTTCTTCTGTTCCATTGGTGTCCGGATTAGAGCGATACGACTGCAGACAGTTCTACCAGCTCGTCAACTGCACCACTTACACGTGTGGACGACTCTCAGCAGGTGAGAACATACCCCACATAACTGGACTAGAGCGAGAGTCTGCACCAAGTCTGTTGCTTCTTCCTGTGACTCATGGCAAGCCAGCCAAACCCACCGCAATCAGTTAGAGAGATGAAAGTCTTGCAGATTTCGAGTGTAAACCTTTCACACACTCTGTAATGGCTACTGAGCATACGCCAGGATCTAACCACACTTTCAACATACCCAAGCTATCATTAGGGAAAGGTGACTAGTGAAGGGGGGATTACCACTTTACACTTTAGATCAGTGAGTCTAGATACACACAGTCACAGGAGGTTGGAATGCTTGCTTCATGACTGTAGTAATGTAAAAACAATCACGCTAATCACGAGGCAACGAGGGTTCAAACTGAGTCACGCAGCCAGCTGCCACGAGTCCGGACCGATCGGAGCAAGACAGTGATTAATCCCATTAGCACTGAATTAAACCCAGCCAGTGCCTCAATCATGTTGCATCCTCCTTTTGTTTTGGGTCAGCTCGGTCAACCAGCAAATTGCGCGTACACGCACTCTTTAGCACTTTCGATCGGAACGCTAACATGAACCGGGTATCAATTAATTCCAGCCAATGCTAGACTCGCCACAGTAGGCCAGTTGGTACAGCGTGGAACTAGTCAATCAACCGTGGGGATATTTCCATAGAGAGGATTGTGTAAGGTGAATAAGGTAAAATATGAGGTTAATGGGTTGAACAATGAAGTAATGGCATTACGGTCAGTCAGCCCTGTAATAAAGACAACTCCCTCCTTCTAGTAGTAGAACTCAAAACTTAGTAGTAGTAGGGTTAAAGTTCCTCTATTTCCCCACTGCCCATGACAAACAAAACAGACACGTGTAGAGCGTCACCTTCACTTTCGGAGAGGGAAAATGAGTATGATATGGTGCACCTCAATACCCTCTTCTCTTACAAACCATCTGGACTGGTACTACATAGCTACTGGTGTCCCTGACCACCACTGGGAGGTCGACACACATGAGAGAGAGACTGGAGCCCTTCTAGAATGAAGGAAATGAACTCTCTCTCTCTCCCACACCAGCTGGATTACAGAGAGCTGTAACTCCAGTCACTCCAGAGAAAATACAAATTGAGCGGCAAGGGGTGGAAGAGGAAAGTGAGCGGGGTGGATCAAACAAGGCTGTCCTTATAAATTGCATACAACATGCACCACTATTCGATCTAAACAGCTATTAGCTAAAGGATGCAGTGTGTGGTGTTTATGACAATGAAGTCATTCACTAAAAGTAGTTAAGAGTCTCTGCTCCATCAATAGTTTCAGAGAAGGATTAGCACACTAACACTCCAGCGGAAATGGTCTTATAGACACCTCCACTCAATGAGGTGACAAGTTAGGGAATGATGCCCCAGGAACAACCACAGATCAACACCCAGTTGTCAGACAGTCTTCCTCCCATCAGCAGAGAATCTCACTTCTGAGAGAATTTCACTACTCTATCAGTTCTGAGAGAACCCACATCAAAAGATGTGTCCAGCTAGGGTTGGGGGGATTGCAAATGTTCCCCCTCCTAAACACCGGTCCCCTTGAGATAAAATGTGATCCTCTCGATATTCTTCTCTAGAACAATCCTTGGGTAGTGCGAACGAATGCATCTTGTTTTGCTGAGCAAAGAAGGCGAGCAGGTCTGCAGGCCTTTGCACAAGCAAAAAAACCCGTGCGGTCCATTACACAAATCAATTAACCTGAGAGTAGATATCAGCAGAGGGTGCCACAGCCTCTTCCAGAATGGAGTAGAAGATGGCCATCAGACGGTCCAGGGGGAAAGGTTTGGGTCCCAACAACTGATGGTTAGGCTGCAACAGAACAATACAGACCATCACAGACAACTTGTTGCAAAGAACAAAGTTGTCATGTGGATGAGATAGATCACAGAGTTGCAAGCTGCCCAGTTGGAAAACACTGTTCTATTCCAGGCCACCAGTTTCTGTATCACACAGTATAAATCTCTATCACGGCATAATAACCTCCTACAGTAGAAGACTCTATCACGGCATAATAACCCTCCTACAGTAGAAGACTCTATCACGGCATAATAACCTCCTACAGTAGAAGACTCTATCACGGCATAATAACCCTCCTACAGTAGAAGACTCTATCACGGCATAATAACCCTCCTACAGTAGAAGACTCTATCACGGCATAATAACCCTCCTACAGTAGAAGACTCTATCACGGCATAATAACCCTCCTACAGTAGAAGACTCTACAAAGTCTCCTGTGCACAAACCTTCTCTTTTCGTGGTTTCTTTGATTTTCGAGTGCGGGCTTGTTTTTGCTAGAAAAGAAAGAAAAACCATGACACCAGACAGTGTGTAACAACTATATATACAAATTAACATGTACTAAATACACGCACATTCTATTAGTGTCAGTAGACTAGGTGTGAGGAATCTGACATGGCGAGCGAATTAGGCGGTGTTAGCTAAATGGCCTCCGGAATGCAGCTGCTTACACGCGTTTCATGTTCAGTACATACCAACAAAACTTCCCATAGTGTGTGAAATGTGTGTCATACTGTGGGTCTAAGCCAGCGGTGTGAGCATTTCTGAATTACCTTTGAAAAGAACTTCTTGTCAGTTTTGGACGGGTTGTAGGAAGCAAGATACGATGCTATGAGAAGGTATTTGGAGAAATATGGCAGTTCCAGCACAGCCTTTGACTGGGGGACACCTGATGGTGTGTGTGTGTGTGTGTGTGTGTGTGTGCGTGTGTGTGTGTGTGTGTGTGTGTGTGTGTGTATGACAGAGACAGAGAAGAACAGGAGAAAGGATGGAAGGTGGAAACGGAATGAGAGGGGCAGTTTCGAGTTTGCTCGAGTGACAAAATGACAAATAAAACCTTGAGCTAGGGACGTCGAGGTCTCCCCACTGTCCATCTGCACTTGAGCCTTCACCCACTGAGCACTGCATCACAAGAGACACACGCTCGATGGAGTCTCACCTGTTGTAACTTCACCATGCCGACCTGGATATCTCTCGCAGGTGTATCTTGCTCATGACACCTCTAAAATATGGCTCAATGTGTCTCCACAGTTTCCTGGTCTCTTGTCTACTAGCTGGGGTGTACGTATATGCAGAGTTCAAAGGCCAAAGGTTAAACGTTGCACAAAAGGTCAACTTACTCTCGCCACTCTCAACAGGTTCGCAATACTTGGGATACAGCAGCGAACTCTAAGACAAAACAAGAGTTCACCATCACATGGACTCATACGTTAATGGAGAGTATATACTCTAGGCATCCCGCCATGAAAGTAAACCTTTTCTCACATCTTTAACTTTTCTAAACCCGTGAATTGTAAGGGACAAATGTACAGTGAGACTACATACAAATAGCAATCTGTGATTTTCCTCATTTCTTAATTGACCACTGCATTATTACAGTATATATGGAACACTGGATGGTGTCATAGATCTCACCAGGTATCTGAGCTCTCCGAGGTCCCTGCAGACGTACTGGAACACGTTCCACACGTGGTTGACGAACGTCCTGTAAAATGACAGGGGCTCCCCCTCGGGACAGTCCAGAGACATAATAGCCAGGACTTCACCTGCAGTGGTGCGATACAGTGGGACAACTTCGAGGGAGAATTCGTTTGTGTGAGTTTCGCGGCTCATGAACTGGATGCGAAAGTTTTTTCCTGCGAAATGTTTTGAGTGGGTACATTAGAGGGAGTGTGGCAGTACATAATGGCTAATGTACCACAGACAGTAAGGGCCCAGTGCAAGATGAAATAAAGTTCTTCGGTTTCAGTAAGTTTCTAATACAGCCATCATAATATACTGCCACCTTCCATATTGCAGGTCTCGGTGAAATTCTCGTTTGCTGCCGAACTGCAAAAACTTTCACTGTTATATAATACTATACAATCAGACTCTGGGGAGGTTATTATACATACATACACATTATGTATGGAGAGTTGGTTCAACGTACCCCTCGTGTACTGAGGGAAATGGAGAGGATAAGGACGGAGCCCTCCAGCAGACATTGCCAGCTTCTCCCACACAAGCTCACTCACTAGAATGGTGCACACCTGACGATGGGTCTAGGGAAGAGAGGGAGAAGGGGAATGAGGAGGAAGAGAAGATATAATTATGCTGCAAAGAATGTAAATTAGAGGAAGAAGCAAGTGTGTGAGAAAAGTATTCGGTTGTAAGAGGAAGAAATATATTCTGTCAGTGTGTAAAGAAGCAATAATGTGTAGATATGTTGCTGGAGTTTAGGTATATACCAGTTCGGAGAGCCGGAGGAGGGAAGGGAGAAGAGTAGCGTTCATTTCCCTCAACCTCTCTGCCTTGTCCAAGACCTGGACAGCACCACAACCACTCTATGTACATGTACCTCTCACATATCACACACACACACACACACTCTCCTCCGCACACATCGAATGTACACACGTTAATGACGGCCGTCGTCTTCTTTCAGACTAGCACAAAAGTCAAATTACGACGAATAGCTTCACTAAGACATGCACTATAGGAAGTGTTAATAAGTCAATTGGTGTCTATAGGAGCTACTATTTGTTATGACACACCCCCTAATGTGCCTAATTTTCACTCCCAATCTTTATCCCAACTTACAATGTACATAGTTTCGGCCGTTCTCTCATCCGCGAAACTCTGCAGGGAGCGTATGAAACTGGGCATACTGTCGCATCTGACGTAGCCCGAAGTGTCCCCTGGTGACAAGAGAAACGATCTAAAACCTGATACCAACATTCTCGCGTTTCCGACTAAACCCACCCATCAAATGGGCGAGTATCGTTCCGTAGAGAAGCTTAGGGGAGTAGCACTCTATGCAGTTGACAAAAGCGTGAGGAACCTGGAGGGACAACAAGAGTGATATATACAGTACACGACATCACCACTGCATTAATAGAAGCTATTTCACTTTCAAAAGAGCAGACTGAAAATCCATACTTGTATGAGCCAACATATATCTCTTGGTATAACACGGACGTCATCATTTATCATTCTCACGAAGCACAGTTATGCAAAAAGTAACCTTCGAAGCATGCACTAAAAAGGACATGTGAAAGACAAAGGGTAAGGCAGGCCTCACCTGCAGAGAGCTCAAGATAGTCTTGAGGACGAGGGTCTTCCCCGTTGATGTGTTTCCGTACACATACAGAGCTGGACAGGTCAGCTGGCGAGGCTGAAGTTATAACACACACACACACACATGTACATACAGTTATGAAGCATATAGTGGGAAAGACGAGGTATGTAGAAAGCTTTCATGGTTGGATGCCAAACTAGAATTTTGAAGATAGACTCTAGTAGACCACTTGTTTAGTACGCCAAACAGAACAATTGTCTACGGAGGTTAGCACTGGCACTGTGAAATTTGCGAAAGTTTATTTCCTCTGCACAGCTATATAGGCAGGCTCCCAACCAACTTACCTCTCCTAGAAGAGAGAGTAGGAGTTGAATCTGTCTCTCTCTCCCGGGGAGACGGGAGCAGAGAGAGTGATAGTGTCTCCACCGACCGTGAACACCGTCCTCACCCACACCATCTTCCCCCTCCTCTTCCTCCTCCTCCTGTCTTCCAGCGTCACCAGTGTCTCCGTCTGAAACTTGTTCGACTCGATTTCTGGCACTTTTCTTCGTTGTTCTCTTTGGGTGTTGTTCTTCAGAGGCTGAATCAGTTTCTGTAAGCTCCTCCTCTACTTCATCAACCGCTTTCTCGCCATCATCTTCGTAATCCTCACCATAAATTCTATTTGATGCGCACCTACCATCTTTCTCCAAAGATTTGAGCTTTATCGCTTTGTAGGTAGCCTGAACGCCATCTTCTAGTTCGGATTTAAAGCTCTTGGCCCTGTGCCGTTGAGACCTTCTCATTGATGCTGTCGACGACATCGTCCGTACTCAAGAGCTCTCGCGGTGTTTAACCTTTGTCCCCTACCTTTGCGCTGACAAATGCGCATGCGCATACGACGAAAGATGGGCGCATGCGCATGGGAGAGCTAGCTAGAGAGAGAGGGCGCGAGATCGAGAAAATTGCAAATACATACAGACAGAAGACGTACACACAACATGATATGCAGCACACACACACCTACCCACCAGCAAAACACACTGGTCCAATCTCTAATCTATTGTGTTGTAGGCTACTGGCGTCTCTGTGCACCAGAGCAAGGTCCAGGAGCGGCAGTGCGTCGGTGTCGAAAAACGAGAGGCTTTCAGAGTCCAACTCGTACACACTGCAGCTCCAGTCTGGGTGCTCAGGCTGTCGTGAAAAAGGACACACAAAACAGAGGCAATAAAGTACATAATATAGCAAATGATTTGATATGGAAAATGGACCATCTCCATAAAGGACACTTGTTCAGCCCCATACTAATACTACTACCATTGAATAAAGGCCTCGTCTAACTAAAGGTGTTCTTTACTCAGAGATTTTACTGTACGAATATCGCAGCTGTATCACCTACCGGCTGTTCAAAGAAGATCGGACAGTTTTTGTGGCCTCGTAACTCTGTCACTCTGAGCTGTCTCAACCTACCACCAAACTCTCTCACCAGTACACCCGGTACCTCGCCACCTCCTCCGTCAAAAATTAGAGCCTGGGGGACTAGCTGTCTCTTCAGGTAGTACCGGTGTACCACTGTCTGGGAGGCTTTTGAACTCATCAACTGCAACTGTTTGAACTGTACTCGATCTACTGAATAGTGAACCTAAACGGTTGTCTCAGATAATGAGAATGTTTTCCCGAGGGTCTGACAATTCTTGCCTGATAGAGTTGGATTGACGAAAGAGTGGTGTCTAACTGAACTGTGCTTAGTTGTCTCTTCAGTGACCATGGGACATCCTGAAGAGGACCAAGTGTACAATATCATAGAAAGAGCCACAAGTCAGACTATATATAATATAGAGCCAGAATCATTGTAGCTAGTGTATTGCACAACACAACATGAACGCATACCAGTGTTACAGTGGTGTTGGGCAGAACGCAGGTTTGTCTCGAGGAGCAGTTGCAGAAGACTTGGACGGCATCAGACGAGCATCCCAGGTTTGGGTCGATCCAGTAGAGCCCTTCAACAGCAGAGAGTGGTCGAGAGAGAGAGAGCAGAGAGAGAGAGAGACAGAGAGAGAGAGAGAGAAGTATATTTTGCTGAGACTTTTAGTTTTGAATTCTCTGTATACCAGCGGTGGAGTTGGTGTGGTGAAGACAGACATGCTGGCAGCTGTGGGCTGGAAGTCTTCTCTCCAGACCAGCTGACGGGGAGTCCAGCATCATGAGGCAGCGTGGCACTGTCACTGATGTCTCTCGTCCACTCTCACTGAACACCAGCTGCAGTTCACCAACACAGAGATGCTGATGGCGAGGGCTAACAGGTGTGTTACAAACTTCTTTTATCATCTTGTCGAGGGACGGTAGAGGAAGTCTGCCAGGTTCATAGATATGTTCAGATGCCAGATCAGAGATATAGTGCTGTAAAAAGAAAAACCTAGATCATTCCGATCCATTGTGGGCTCCAAATAGAAATATTACATGTTTGACTTGTCCAGGTGGTCCCTTTGGTCCTTTTGGCCCCTGGAAGTTCAAATGTTACAATTTCACAAGCAAGCTATACGATGGACCTTACGGTCTGTCCTTTAGCAGCCTGCAGGTAAAAAACATCAGATACACTCATGACCATTACTAACACTACTATATACACTCACCCTGTATCCCTTTAGGCCTTTGTAGCCAGGGTTGCCCTAGGTTGAGAAAAATATCACAACAAGAGTGGTAAGATATACTCTAGTCCGGACGCAGAAAGTGTCCAAATTAGTGGGGTGTCCTTTTTTGAGGGATAGAAGACTGTTCTTGTGGAAAGAGACGGTGTCCCACATTTTTAGAGAGGTGTCCTCAGAGAGAAAGATTCCACTGTATATACTCTTACCTGAAAGCCAGGATATCCGTCGAGCCCATCGTTTCCTGGTCTCCCAGGCCGGCCCTGAGGTAAAACAATACATCACAGACAAAGGCGCTAGCAACACACGGCCAGTGATGTAATTCATGCCACCGTTTGGCTATTAACATTCCAATTGGAAAGCAAAAAAAACCTAGGTTACTGGTTTACCACTAATGATGCCTATAAAAATTCACACCCACAGTGAGTGTAGTATATACCACATATCCAGTCTGTCCCATGTACCCACGATTCCCAGGAAAACCCATTCTCCCCTACAGAAAGACGATACATGTCACGTTCTGACAGTTTCAACTGGTTAAATCCCGTACTAACCCCAACGCCGAAATCTCCGAGATCTCCACGAAGACCTGGAGCTCCACGCGAGCCCTGCAATACATAAGAAAGAGCACGTAAGCGTTGGCACAGACAGAGAGAGACCTCAGCTGTTACGGTGATCATTAGCAACTCACCCTTTTCCCCTTCTGTCCGTGAGCTCCTTGGGTGCCCCTTCGACCAGGGGGTCCTGGTGGTCCACGAACACCTTTGCCCCCTTGTTCACCGTGATCACCTTCCAGGCCCTATATTTGAGATGGAGTTGAACTAACTGGCAGTGTTCTGGTGTCTTGGTGAAATTCTCACTGGAAATCCTGGCATCCCCGGCGGTCCATTCAGCCCCGACAAACCTTGCAGACCCTGCATGACACAACGCACACACACACACACACAGACATAGAAGTGAGGGTTGCCAGAGATTTATTTACTGGATTTCCGTGGCCTCCTTGTCGCCCAATAGGTCCAATTGGTCCTGGGGGTCCCTAGAGAAGAGTATGACAGTATACATAAGACACCAAGTACCATTGTAGAGGTCCCCTCACTTTCTTCCCTTTCTGCCCTTTTGGTGATGGTAGCCCGGGCGGTCCAATCAGTCCCTATGATATTTGGAACACAGACAGTGCGATGTGTAGCGATGTGAACGAATTTTGAAACCTTTCCGCCTTTGAAACCTTTCAGTCCTCTGCCCCCCTTTGGTCCGGGAGATCCCTGTGAAAACCTCGCACAATTATACCTGCACGTCATGTTCAGGACACACTGACCCCGTCTCCGTCTTCCCCCGGGTAACCCTTTGGTCCCCTGTCACTGGTTGGACCCCGTCTTCCCTGGGGGCCCTCGAATCCCTGAACCCCTGGCTCCCCCGGCGGCCCCTGAATCAAGTTAATCTCAAAAGGTGTGCACAAGAAGAAGGGAATGTGGCAGTAGGTAAGGGCTATGTTTAGAAGTGTTACTAAAGATAGAACAAAACAGGACCCAGTGCAAGAATGCAATTAGGTTTCCATTTTCAGTAACAGTTTCTAAATTTAGCCATTACATACTGACACATTCCCTTTAAGAAAACAACTATACCTCCACTCCTTTATAACCACGTTCGCCTGTATCACCTGTGGCGCCGTTTACACCCTAAACAAATGCAGAAAAGAGGGGGGTAAGGTTGTTAGAGAGTGTCCTAAGATGATACCTTTATTCCGACACCTCCAGGAGGACCCTGTCGTCCAGCGGGCCCTGGTACTCCCTGTGATAGTGCCCCGGGGATAGATTACATCAGAGGTTTTACGTGAAACTGACCGGCATTCCATGTCGTCCATGATCGCCATCGTCCCCTCTCAGTCCAGTAATGCCCGTTGTGCCCTTAATTCCTGCCAAGCCAATGGGACCCTGCTCTCCCTTGCTTCCCTGTCGTGCAAGATTCACATTACACCGAGTCCCTTAAAATCAGATTAACCAACCTCGAATCCCTTAGGACCTGCCAGTCCTTTCTTTCCTTTGTGACCAGATAAACCCTGGAAAAAAGACAGTCTCGACGTGTCTGAGACAAACTCCTCCCTTTTTTTTACTTTGTCTCCTTTGTCGCCTCTTTCTCCCTCTTCTCCAGTTTTGCCTTTGGCTCCCTTGTGCAAGCATGGAACACAATAGGAAAAAGGTTCAGCTATTACACCTACTGGTAGTCCATCAGTTCCAGCTGTTCCATCCAACCCGAGGATTCCTCGATCACCCTGGAAAATGGATCAGGGACGCATGCATAAGAAATCGGTTATCTTCCCTCACCATATCTCCTCTCCTTCCTTTTGGTCCCGGGAATCCCCTCACACCTTTCACTCCCTGCAGTAACAAGTGAGTGTCTGAGAGGGTAGGTTAGCAGGATTTACCGGTCTTCCTGGTTTTCCCTTTGGCCCGCGGCCACCGTTTAAGCCATCCTCACCCTTCCTCGCTTTCTCTCCTTTATTCCCTTGCGGACCAAGCTCTCCTTTTGGACCCTAATAATCGATGTTACAAACAAAACAGCCCACCTTAAACTTCTCCTTACTTGTGGACCAGTGGTAGCAGACTTTCCCTTGAATCCAGGCAGTCCTTTTGGCCCCTTTAAAAAGGTTCTCACAAAGTCTATTAGCAAATCATAATAAGAACTTACAGTTCTACCAGGAGCTCCGTCAGCAGCAGGAGCTCCCTTTTCACCTTTAGTCCCCTATCGCAGAGCAAGGAATTAAAACACTGTGCACTGAAAGAAATAACAGCAGTAGATGGAGTACTTACCACTAATCCTGCTCTTCCATCATGCCCTGGACGTCCTCTATTACCAGGCGGTCCCTGAGTAATTAAGTGTAATTGTACAATCTCCGCCATTCCATGTAACCATACCAGCACTCCTTTTGGGCCCATTAATCCAGGGGCACCATCAGCACCAGGTGCACCCTATAGAACAAAACATACGTGGCTGGATGTTGGAGTTAGTACAATACATACGTTGGGCCCAGGATTTCCTGGTATTCCACGTTCCCCGAGATCTCCTTTCTTCCCCCTCTCCCCACGAAATCCGGGATCCCCCTTCACCCCTTTGCCTCCCATCACACCTGTAGTACCAGGTATACCAGTTGCTCCTTGCAGGCCCTTCAGACCGGAGGAGAGAAACGTGAATACACCACACACACACACAGAGTCCCGAGTTGAAACCTTGTTCCCTGGTTCTCCTTTGTGACCCTTGGGACCTTGGGTCCCTTTTTGTCCCTACACAATAGAATTGCTATATAACCAAGTACGGTAGTACTATATAATAGAGATGAAACAGGTTTTATTCAGTTTTCTAACATGTGATGTGTGTGGCGTCAACTCACTTTTGGCCCTAGTGGTCCGATAATACCCTGCGGTCCAGATATCCCTCTGCCACCCTGCACAATCAAAGAACAGAAAAGGTATGATGTCATACTATTGCTGCCAGTAAATGGGAGACTACAGGCTAGACAAGGACACACAACGTACCTTCATACCTGGAGGGCCTGGCAGACCGTTCTCTCCATCGTGACCAGGAGAACCCTAGTTGGCAGCAAAGTATAATAGTAAATGTCAATGGTTCTATAATATCACGGTGTCTATGTGGGTGGCTCACTAGTGGCCCCTTTTCTCCAGTGTGTCCTGGGATTCCTACCGATCCTCTGTAACCCTGTGGAAACATTGGAGGCTCCTCCTTCTCTCGGAAAAAAGATATGTCAAACCTTTACTCCTGGTGCACCTGTAGGCCCTGGAACACCTCTAAACCCTTTTGGTCCCTAATAAAAGTTAAATTTCGAAACTTACTAAAAACATAACTGTCACTGGGCCCTATTGTTTAGTTCCATATTTAGTAACATTTCTAAATTTAGCCCATATGTGATGTCACATTCCCTTTAATGGTGAACGTTCAATGGCATACTCACAATGCTTCCTTTTCGTCCTTGATGACCAAGTGGTCCGGGTGGTCCCTACGGCAATGATGTAAACATAATGCTGGTGAGAAGCAGGTGCTCTAGGGCTAGTGTGTGTACAGATGACACACCTTTCAGTACCTTTCTGCCTGGCGAACCGGGGATTCCATTCAGCCCAATCTCTCCCTTAATTCCCTGTCAGATAGCCAGTAGTAGGAGATGAACAGAATGAGCAGTTCAGCACTTACAGGAGCACCAGGCTTTCCCGGAGGTCCTGAAAATCCAGGCAGACCCTGTGGCAAGAACAAAAAACACTCAACAACACGAGAGAGAAACGCATCCCCAGGGCAATCCACACGTTTTTACAAGTTGTGCACACAGGACACAGGAAGCAGAAAGATAGGAGTCTGCTAGGAATAAAGCTTGTAGCACCTTTAGATTATACTGAGGTAGCTCTTAGAATTACAGCTTATACTGAGGTAGATTGATACTGGGTAGCTCTTTAGAATGGAGCTGGTGCTTTTGTAGAATACATCATAATTTATACTGAGGTAGCTATTTAGAATACAGCTTATACTTACTTGCCTTGGGCCCAGGCTCTCCTGGATGGCCTGCAACACCTGGCTCCCCATCAAGACCCTGTAGAGCACAGAAACAAGTGTTAACACACCCTAGCTACCAGGAGAGGCAATCCCTCACCATAGGTCCAGGTCGTCCGTCTGGACCAGGATCCCCGGTAAAGCCCTACTGGACCCTGTCCATACAATGATAGATATACGGCTCACACAGCTCATGAACCAAGTAGTGTTTGTATTAACCATTGGTCCAGGAAAGCCGTCATCTCCAGGTGGACCCATGTCTCCTGGTGATCCCTGCATGCATAGTACATGAGAGTACAAAAAATATTCTGAAATCTTAATACTGTGTGTGTAACACATCATTGCGTTCGTGTGTGCGAAGCTACCACATGACTGAACGCCTCAAGTCAGAATCCACGCTTGTGCTGAACGCAGTTTTGATTTATTTACCGGGCGTCCAGGATCTCCATCAAGTCCTGGATCTCCTTGTATACCTGGAAAGCCCTGTGTCCAAGACATACATATACAAGCAATGCTGGAAAAACACGTCCATCTGAACTCACAGGGTAGCCTAGTTCTCCCTTGCGTCCCTTTGTGCCGCCATCACCAGTTCTTCCCTAACCATAATAAAATACCGTCATGCGTGTGTGGAGAGAGGACATGGAGTAGTTACGGATACTGACCCTTTCTCCTTTCTCTCCCCGTGGTCCTGGATGTCCCATAACTCCCTATGAAATGAGCATACAGTTGGCAAGTTGGCTCACTCCTATTAGACGTATACCTTTAGTCCCATTTCTCCTTCCCTACCAACTGGCCCTTGTCTTCCTTTTGGGCCTTTGCTTCCCGTGAGGCCTGTGTGGCCACGAGGTCCTGGTGGACCCTTCAGCAAGATAGCAGCACTATGATAATGGATACACCCTGTCTACATAAAGTACTCGTACAATTTCTCCATCCGGGCCAGGCTCTCCTATTCTTCCTGGTACTCCTGGTCTACCCTGAACAGAAACATAAAACCGTTTTTCATTTAAGTATAATATCACATCATACATACCGGAGGTCCGATTGGTCCAGATCTTCCTTTTGGCCCCTCAGGTCCCTACGATAATATTGTACTACAAGCTACAGTAGCAACAATAGAGTTGTTCTGTACCCTGGGGCCTTGACCACCGGCAGTTCCAGGTGGTCCTTGTGGACCAGTATAACCCTGCAGTTAGGGATTTATTGCAGTCAAATATAGTACGAAGTGTAGTTGAATAGATACCATGGGTCCTTCCTTTCCATGCACACCAGGCGATCCAATAAGTCCCTGTGATGATTGGCTAAACCTTTTTTCAGTAAAAAAAACTTCTGTTTACTTACAACGAGTCCCTTGAAACCACCTATTCCAGGCGTCCCCGGTTCACCTTTCCTTCCCTAAGATCAAAAACACGAGAAGTCTCGTTATTTTCACTATCTCACGACTCCCAAAAATTACTGGATCTCCATTGGGCCCGCGATCACTTTGCCGCCCTTTCATCCCCTAAAAAAAAACAGGGCTGTATAGAAAGTCTATTAACACTGTGAACCTACCCTGGCTCCCTTTACTCCTTTGTGACCTGGTGGTCCTCTAGCTCCAGGGAGTGCCTGTGGTCCCTGTCTACCACTTGCTCCCGTGTGTCCTTGTGACCCTTCTTCGCCCTGCGCAATGCAGCAAAGTATATATATACCCTTACTCCACTAAAAGACCGTCTTGTGGATGTTTTACAGTACACCTCTTCTCCTTTTCTTCCTTGGTCGCCAGGCAGTCCTGGGTGCCCTGGAGGGCCCGGATAACCAGATACACCCTTACCACCTGCCATCCCGTCATGTCCAACGGGCCCCTTGTGACAGAGTCTGAGATTAAACCACAACCATAGTGGGTTGAAATCTCCTCTTACTGGTCTTCCACTACGACCTTTCTCTCCTGGGAATCCACTTCTCCCCTATAGTGTAATTAGATACTAATTGGTGTAGTATAGTGCTCATTATCCTCTTAAGTAAAAGACTAGCACTAGTATGTAGGTACTCTCATGAATCATGGTAAGGCAGGAAGTGCAATATCGAGACACCCAGGACAACTTTCTGAGCTGGCTTTGTTGGGACTCAACCCCACGGCACTCTACTGTCTATATAGGACAAACTTCCTACTGCGTTACCAGGGGCAGCTCACAGGGTTCTATTCTATAATAGAGTAGTTAATTCTGACTTGAGAGAGTATGAGGTACTTACAGGGCGTCCAGCTGGGCCAGGGTGTCCACGTGGACCTTGAGGCCCCGGGTGACCAGGAGGACCAGTACACAGTGGATCAGGCCACGTCTGAAATTGTGGAGAAAGGAGAACACAACACAAACATGACGTTATGGTAGCAGTGCCACACGATAAGCGGGCCGTTTTAATTCACTCTTGCGGGCCAAAATAGATCCACAGCTTGGAATTGTGGTTTGGGAACACCGCAAGAACAACATAATCACCTGAATGTTTATGCTAGCGGTGAACATTTAACACACAAAAGATTAACTGGGAGCCGTCTCAGATATCTTGAGCGGATAAAAGTATTCAACCAGGCCAAGTAATTTCAAACGATGTTGAGCTTCCACGAAAAAATCACAAAGCACACACATTTGGTCAACTCAGTGGTTTACCTGATAAGGATCGTATGGATTGTAGTAGGGATTGGTGAAGGGGTAGTAATACGGGTCGTAAGGTATCGGAGCTTGCGGTAATCCGGAAATTGTAGGGTCAGTTGGATCGGCTGGGGTGCCTGAGGGTGGTGGCGGCTGTCCGACTACTTGAGTCTGTCAAAATTTCAACAAAAAAATCAATTTCTAACAACAGGAGAATAGCGTCTGGTTTACCACGCAGGTGTGAAAGATAAGGGAACAGAGAAACGGCGAGGAAGGCAAATCTTCCGGAAGTGGCAATAATTTCATGCTGCAGATGATTCCCTGTAGCAAGTACATAGATAACATAAAGCAGATATCGTCTTTATTTTTCCTGTTTTTGCTTACCAACGAAGACACAGAGCTCAGGTATGGTGAAAACTTCATTTCCAATGTGTCGGTGGTTTTGACATCATTCCATAGGCTAATGCCTTCAATTGGAGGGTGGTACGCCCCATTCAAACACATACCTACCCGACCATTCATCACTATTAGATTTAGTGAATATCGCGATTGATAGCTGGCCGATAAATCTGTCGAAAGGTCATAATAGCTGTCCGAGTGTACAACAACTGTTGCTGAGTGGCTGAGCCTGAATTCCGAGTGAATTTTGGAGAAATTGGCAATTGAATGGCTACTGTTGGCTGTTCTGTTTTGCTGATTCTGTGACTGGGCTGGATGTGACATGAGGGAGAAGAGGGACAAAACTGTGTTGTTGAGTGGTTTGTAAGAGAGGGAGAGGAGGAAATTAGTCGGGAGGGTATGCGAATTGACTGATTGCTCTGATGAGAGATATTGCCGGGGTTGTACAATTGCAAACGATGGGGGGCGATGGTCATTAGACAATGACATAACGTCAATAGTTTTTTGTAACATTTCATTCAGTAGTTCTTCATCGGAGTATGGATGAAGACCAAAGTAATCCCCACCATCAACCCCTATTATGGATACCAATTTTGTGGATAAATCACATAAATCGCGCGCTTCGCGCATGCATTGTTTATACGCACAATGATGCGGCTGCCCCACCACTTCCACACCTAGAACCCACGTGAGATCCGATGGAATCTCACCCGAGAACGTATAAATTATACCGTGCAACAGCACCGTGCAATGGCTACAAATCTCATGCATGTATAGCTACATAAATATTCTCTACCGGCCCTCTCACGTATAAAGCATATCACTTACCACTTCCACTACCAAAATCCACCAAACCGCCGGAGCCGTCGGCGGAACTTCCCGACCCGCTCCATGAGCTACCGCTACCACTGAACTGCGCGCATGCTGGAGCTGTGAATGCGTGCAGGAGCAGGGCCAGTAGGAGCCCTCTGCGCGGTTGCCACAGGCCTAGTTTCAGCCTTTGATGCAGCCAGACTTTCCGTCTTCCAACCGGCATACTCTACTAACTCTGGACGATGCTGCTACAGGTGCTGTGCGCATGCGCATATTCGATTTTTCATTTAACGTCATCTCTTCTGTCCGCACATACGCCCCAAGGATCCTGTAACAACAATGCATAATGTTCAAGCAGGTAGCCATGGTTTTTAGCTTAGTTGCACCGTTCATGAGTGCCTGCTTAGCAGCCTTTTGTCTGGCATCTTTCAGACTGCACAAACACACACAACGTAATGACATGTCTAGTATATAAATGAAGGCGAATCTCACCTATTTCCTCTCCCAGTTCCCAGTCTCCGTCCCTTGAAATACACACCAACTTCACAAATTCACAAAATATTGAAGGAGGTAATTCAATTCTAATATATACAAGGTCACGAATTTTTTCATAGCCAGATACCTTTGAATGGAGGTATTTTGGATGACCCCAGTTGCCTATGTCAGTGAATACCCATCAAAATGGACTTCATATTAATTGTTGAATGAAATCTGCAAACCTGTAGATTGGCTGTTCGCGCTCAAGATGGAGATTGCGACATAATCTGGCAGTGGCCTTTTGAAGCTGAGTGTTGGAATCTTCTATATTATCTAATTTCGTCATGACATCCTGAATGAATAGTACGCAGACCATCAAGTTTTTGTACATACAGACTTGGGGTCGTTGCCTACTGTAAGTTTAGGAAAAAGACAAACTTGGAGGAATTTCTGGCAATAATCGAGACCCATGTCTAACAGAAGTGCAGCTACGTAAGATTCCACCACATCAGCTAAAATCTTCGTCCCAACTTCGGTACCCTGTGCAAGATAAAAAATTTATAAAAATTGGCAAATCATGAGTAATCAACAGCGACCTCATAACGAATGTATTGATCAAAGCCAAGTTCTTTACAGAGTTGAGCGAGTTGCTTGTTCTGTACTAGACTGGCCCGCAGCAGCTGCAGAAAGAGACATTCAGAACAGCTAGACACTAAAGTATGATAGGCTGACAGAGAATTGTCCTTCGTGGAATGTTGGGAATTTGCGATACAGGTAATCAGAGACCAGAAACTGCAATACGGCGTCTCCAAGGTGCTCCAACTTCTCGTAGTTCCCTCTGCATAACAAACACATTAGACACACTGACAGGATATCATTATTATGGAGAACTAACATACCCGACGAGATGACTGTATTGCATGGAGGAATGCGTGAATGCTTTTGCCAGTAGGCGAATGTGCCTGAATTCGACTCCTGTTGATTCTTCCAAATGCACCAGTTTCTGTCCCGCAATTTAGGGTGGATTAGTTATGACAACAGAGTCTGCTGTGCGTATATACTGCTACAATAGGGCTAACTTGTAGTATGGGAGAATGAGGTATCATATGCCGGTCCCCAGCAGGGTGATCTGACTGATAGAACAACAGGTATTTTTTTTACTCACCCGCAGGAAACAATGCAATTATGTGGCAACCGCATTCTTGATAAGCATTTTATGGCAAGACACACCCTTACCTGCAAAGGATGAGGCGGGTAATCCAACCAGACTTTTTGGAGCTCCTACGTGAAAGAGCCAAGCGAAGCAAGTCGTCTGAATTGCGCAACTTTTCTGTATCTATGTATGCACGACATAGAAGGCGCTGTCTATGCCGTGATGTCAAAGTCACATAAACTGCTGAAATTTTGCACTCGTGTTAGCTCGCAGAACCGTGTGCATCTGTTCTAGTAATGAAGGAGAGCCTACGTACCTCTTTCAGGGAAGAATAGTTGGGCAATGAGCTGTTGGGTGGCACTCAGACCACCGTCTAGATAAACAGCTCCCAATATTGCTTCCAGATGATTGGCATACATATGAGCATCAGCATCCAGAGACGTAGCTGACGGCTCTTCAGTGGCAGAATCAGAGGGCTGTGGGTTCTTATCCAACAAATCTCTCTGCTTTTCACTCGCAGAGTGCACTGCATCTCTGGCAAGTAGATACTTGCGTATTTCGAGCTTTTCTGCTAAGACAGCCAGGTGTCTGTTTTTTACTAGCAGTGTTCTATATGACGCCAACTGTCCCAGCCTTGCATCCGGGAACGTGTGGTACAGATGAAGGCTACAGAGGAAAAACACTAACACACACGCATATGCTCCATGAGTTACAGTGTAAGCAAACATTAAACCTGCAGAGATACTCGAGTGCAGCGTCACCGAGGAACTCTAACTGTTCGTTTTGCCGCAGTCTTTCAATCTCTGGTTGAGGTCCTGAACGTTTGTTTCAGATTTTACACTCTTGCCTGCCCTGACCAGCGGTCTTCTGATCCCACAGTTTGATGCTGTCACCTTCACCTGCTCGGCCAATACTGTGTACAACTGTGAGTAAGAGGGTTCCGTGAGTGCTCTCTGAAAAAGAAAAATCATACAATAATAATGGTAACATGTCCTGATTTTGGTATTATGAGATACCTCAAGAAGCTGCCTGTCTCGAAACGAATAGTTCAACTTTTTCTCGAGTTTTAGCAACGACTTGTGGTAGAGAATGTGGTTTAGCATCAGTGGAAGAAACAGAGCATCCTATATCATGAAACACATTAAAACCTCAACAGCTTACTAACACATATTACTACCTCAACGATATCCGTATAGAGGCCTGTCAAAATAAAATTCTCTGTACTAATGCTGAGCATTAACTCCCTGTGTGATGTCGTGTTACATAATCACGGGCACAAAATAACCACGATGACATACTTGCTAGAAGCTCTGAAAAGCTCTTCTACATCATGTCCAGCCTTATGGTCCTCATTGAAAACGGACGAGAAATGGATGATATTGGGTCGTCCCTGTAATTATATCGTAGTTATCTGCTAGGCTCAGGTGAGTGTCTCCATTAAACCTTGCCGTTTCTTTGCCGTGACCACTCCAATCTGTCCACTCTAATACTTGACGGGCGCTGAAAAGCAAACAACGATCTCCATCTCTAGTGTAGCTAGATACAAAAAAAAAATACCAAATGTGGGTTGGTGACGATCAATCCACTGGTCATCTTACTGGTGTCACTCTCAGTGTTTCCCTTCAGCTGCGTCTGTACAGGACAGTACAACCGTCGTATCAATGCAAACAGCCAACCTCAAGGTATGGTGGTAATGGTATCCTCACTGCCATCAACCACCGAAGAACGGAGCTCATAGCAAGAACCTGTCCACCTGCCAGCCACAGTCACACATGCATTTCAGTTGCCATAATAGTATATAAGATTCACCCTCTTTGGAAAATTTTGGGATGAACAACATACTAGCGTCGAGACCCTTTAGTACTGCAGTAAAAGGCAGGTCATAAGGAGACCATTATGTGTCATGTTTACCATGAGTAAAGTCAAAGAGTTGCAAGAGGTCATTAAACAAGTATTCTTCGAACAGCAGAGCTTGTAGTTTAGTGAATTCCTATAGAAATCAAATTTCTATTGCGATATCTAGGCATGAGAAGGTTTACTGGTACCAAAACAGCTTCTTCAAGTGGCTCAACAGTGACTGTGTAGTTGCACCCACGCTGCCAAACACTGAGTGGTGGTACCTGCAGACAGACACACGCACAATCAATGGCAATCTACTAAATTACTTACACACCTGTTGTAGCTTCTGCTCTGATACAAGGATGAATCCTCGAAAAGTATAGTTTTCTTCTTGAAACACAATTTTTGACTTCCGTTCATCCTTCGAGGAAAAATTTATTACTATTATACACGCGTGCCTAAAAGTCAAAACTTTTACTGCGAAGTTAAGGGAAGGGCTGACTGAGAGAAAATAGCTGTAGAATCCCAGGAGAACATGAGACGTGACTGTCTCTGCCTTGGGGGTTACTTCATACCGAGTGCAAAATTCCGCTAGTCTCTCCTACAAAAGGACCACAGCGGCACATAACCATATCTGCGTGTGGATTTAAAAATTCTCACAGATATTTGAGTATCGTTGTGTTTGAGACATCTTGAGAGTTTAGATATGGGCGGCTCTCTGTGGTCTTGTGTGGGAAGGAGCGAATGAGTGTATGACTGAACACTGGCAAGAACTGTCTTCATAAATGAGCAACAAAGGTCATTTGACTCTGGGTCAGCCTGATAGAAAAGGTAAATTGTCCAACTGCGATGAGTTAGCATACATTTTTTATACCTGCGTATTTCCTCCAGAGGAGGTTTCCATCGGCGGATGCTCAATCGTTCGTCACGCCTACGCCACTGGCGGGCATGCGCAGTATACAGCGCGCGGTATGCGCAACTTTTGCCGCTAACACTCGACTCTCGCGGTTCGTTCATCGTCGATCGTTCATCAAAAGATTTTCAGCCCACAGCTCAAGAAACAGGTATACTAACTACTATACACTTACACATTTTAAACACCAATAGAGTATGATAATACTTCTGGTTTAGCAACCAAAGCAGGGTGGTACTCCCTTACAGTCCTTGACATTAGTGATTGGTCCTGTTATGGAGAAGGAGGCAGTCAGTCTGTCTCCAACACCTCCAGTGGCGACAACTGTGTACTGGCCTGGAAACACATAGTGTTCCCCGTCCTCGTCCACCAGGGACAGAGAGTAGGCATTCACCTCATAATTCCCTGTATGGCTTGCAGACGGAGCAAGACCGACGCGCTCAAAGCCAACCAGCTGTGTGTTGGGTATAAACGGTTTTCCTGATATTCTCGGAGGCTCCACGTAAATTTGAATGACTTCATCTCCTTGAACGTCCCCAACGTTCTGAACAGACACCTTCACGTTTACGGAGCTGCAGACTTCAATACTGTTTACCGACAAGACTAGTTGGGAATACTTGAAACTTGTGTACGAGAGTCCGTAACCAAACGGGAACAGAGGCCTTCCAGTGTAGTAACGATAGGTTCTCCCGGGAGGCGTGGTCATATTGTAGTCCGTAGCAACAGGTACATCATTGGTGCTGTTGAAAATTGTAATGGGTAATTTCCCGCCGGGGTTATATTTACCAAATATTACATCAGCCACTGCTGTCCCCCCGAGTGGACCAGGATAGAAGGCTTCAATCACAGCCAAGACTCCCTTGTTCTCATACAGGTTAGGGATGCTGACTGGTCCTCCGTTTAGGAAAACAAGGATCACTCTAGGGTTGATGGACGTTACTGCCTCGATGAGTGCAGTTTGGCACCCAGGGAGCGCTATGTTGTCTATTGGTTCAGAGTCGCAGGTTGTGTGTGCTCTGTCATGTCCCTCGCCTTCCACACTTCCGTCCAGCCCCATTACTGCTACGACATAGTCAGCATCCCGCACAATCTTGAGGACATCATCAAAGCCCTTTTGATTACTGCAAGTCACGTCCGAGCATCCCGGTGCATATTCTGCTGCTATCCCCGTGTTCTTTATGCCGTCGTAAACGGTGGTTACGAACGCCGGAATGCCTTCATAATCTGAGATTAAAACAGCCGAGGAGTTTGCATTTGGTCCGATAACAGCTATGTTTTTGGCTTCAGCAATGTTTAAAGGAAGATGTCCGGAGTTTTTGAGAAGTACAATCGACTCGAGTGCAACTTTTAGATTGATAGCCTGACTCTCGGGAGTGTTGAGCTGACTGGCATTGATCCACTGATACGGTACCAGTGACACTGGATCAAAATCCCCCACTCTGATTCTCAAGTAGAAACTTCTCCAAACTGCCTGTCTGATGGTGTCTATATTGACGAGGCTGTCCTTAATAGCCAAAGGAAGGTATTTAGGGTACACTTTATCACCCCCAAGATCAAGGTCAGTGCTGGCATTCATGCAAAGAGCAGCCGCTTCTTCCAAAGACGCAGCAAAGTGGTGTGTACTGTATACCTCTGCTACACCACCATTATCAGAACAGACAGATATATTCGCCCCTCCAAACTCTTCACGCAGGACCGTTTGCAATAGGAATGGATTTGCAGCATCCGGCGCCCCGTCTGGTTCGCCCTTGCATCTCACTCCGCTGTAAGCTGGCATGATTTGCATTGCTTTTCCACCCACTACTTGCGATTTGAATGCTGGGAGATAGGTATCGTAGAGATCGTGCAGCGTGACGTTAGCCGTGAAAACGCTTCGGAGTTGATCTGGGCCACTGTGCACGGCGTAGTGCTTGGGGCATGCGGCCACCTTCACGTATGTTGGATCACTTCCCTCCTGTATCCCCTTAGTATAGGCAACACTTAGCTGAGAGATTAGATATGGATCCTCGCCAAAGGTCTCCGAGGCTCTTCCCCATCGAGGATCACGGAGAAGGTTGACGTTCGGTGAGAAGCAGTTTAGTCCACTGGCTTCCTGGCTTGCTCCATTATAATGCGACATTACCTCATTGTGAAGGGCCCTACCCTCAGTTGACGTTACCTGAGCGACTTGGAGGATGAGATTGCGGTCAAAAGTCGCCGCGAGTCCTATGGGGACTGGGAACACAGTCCACGTGTAACCAAGCCAGTCGGGTCCGCCAGATAACGCCCAGCCGTGTAGACAATTGGACCTCCAGTTATAAGCATTGATGCCGAGGCGTGTGATGGCAGCGGCAATGGAAGACGTCTGGCCAACAAGCTCCTCTTGAGTCAGCCTCGAGACGAGGTCGGTGGCTCTTTCTTCCGGGCTCAGGTTTGGGTCGCAGAATGGGTAGCTCGCCTGTGGTAGGCTCTCGCAGTCCACCGAGGGGGTCGGGAATGCTTCCAAGGCCCAAGGAAGGACGAAAACGATGATGTAGTTGTACACAAAACGTGTGTTCATCTTTAATTGCTTGCAGTCGCGGTTTTGCATGTGACAGATGTTGGGGCGGGGCTCGAGTTGCGCGCGTGCGTGTGCCCGCTCAGCGATGATGGAGATAGTTTGTGTCCTTCTCTTGTTGTTTTCCTCGGCGGGCTGTTTTTTTGGTCGTTCGAGCAATTCTGATCGTTCCACCTTCAGCCCTGTTCCCTCTGTCGACTGCACGAGCGAGCCTCAGGCAAGCTACCCTTTCTGCAATCCTAAACTCGACGCTGGAACCAGGGCTAGCGACCTCGTTTCCCGGCTCACCCCGTTGGAACTCGTAGAACAGACGTCTACCATCGCTCCAGGAATATCGAGGCTGGGCATAAACGCCTACAACTGGCGCTCAAACTGTTTGCACGGATGGGACAAAGGCGGTGGCCCAGACTGGTTGGGCTACACCTGGACCGTGTTTCCAGCCCCGATTGGACTGGCGGCTTCTTTCGACAAAGAACTAGTTCTGAAAGCGGGCGAAGTTACGTCCACTGAAGGTCGCGCACTCCACAATATCATAATGGCCCACTACAATGGGTCAAGTCAAGAAGCAAGTGGGGTGAGTTGCTTTGCCCCAAACGTTAACCTCCTTCGTGATCCCAGATGGGGTAGAGCCCTTGAAACGTTTGGCGAAGATCCATATCTCATTTCCCTGCTGGGGCTTGCCTATACTAGGGGTCTTCAAGAAGGCTCTGATTCCAAGTATGTCAAGGTGGCTGCATGTGCAAAACACTTTGCAGTTCACAGCGGACCCGACCAACTTAGGAAAGTTTTTGTTGCAGAGCCCACCGTACACGATTTGTATGACACCTACTTGCCAGCCTTCAAGTCACAGGTTATTGCGGGAAAAGTGATGCAAATTATGCCCGCATACACCTCCTTGAAATGCAAGTACGCCCCCGAAGGGGCACCGGATGCTGCCAATGACTTCCTCCTGAAATCGGTCCTCAGGGGGCAGTTTGGTGCCGAGAACATATCTGTTTGCTCAGATAATGGTGCTGTTGCAGAAGTCTATACCACACATAACTTTACACGGAACCTACTCCGAGCAGCTGCTGTGTGCATGAATGCAGGCACTGATCTCGATCTCGGGCATGACGAAATCTATCCAATCTACCTACCCCTGGCTTATGTAGAAGATATTGTACAATTGGACACCATCAGACAGGCAGTTTGGAGGAGTTTCTACTTGAGAATCAGAGTGGGGGATTTTGATCCAGTGTCACTGGTACCGTATCAGTGGATCAATGCCAGTCAGCTCAACACTCCCGAGAGTCAGGCTCTCAATCTAAAAGCTGCACTCGAGTCGATTGTACTTTTGGAGAATTCTGGTGACCTTCCACTAAAAATTGGTCAGCAAAAGAAGCTAGCAGTTGTTGGTCCCAATGCTAATTCGTCTCTCGTACTGCTCTCATCCTACATGGGTATCCCTCCATACAATGTCACCATACTTCAAGGTTTACAGGAGATATTAACGACACTGCAACTGTAATTGATTATGAACCTGGGTGTGCCAACGTTAATTGTTCAGACAAAAGCGGGTTTCCAGCGGCACTGTCGATTGTGGATGATGCCGACTATGTTATTGCAGTAATGGGACTCGATAGCTCTGTTGAAAGGGAAGGTGAAGATAGAGCAAATACAACGTGTGAACTCGAGCCAATAGATAACCTGGCACTTCCCGGCTGCCAAACGGCACTAATTGAAGCTATTGTTTCCTTAACTCCACGCGTGATATTGGTTCTCCTCAATGGCGGTCCTGTTAGCATTCCCACTTTGTATGGAAACACTGGAGTACTGGCTGTTGTTGAAGCCTTCTATCCCGGACCTTTAGGAGGTCATGCAGTGGCTGATGTGTTATTTGGAAAATATAACCCGGGAGGGAAATTACCCTTTACAATTTTCAACAGCACCAATGATGTACCTGTTGCTACGGACTACAACATGACCACACCTCCCGGGAGAACCTATCGTTACTACACTGGAAGGCCTCTGTTCCCGTTTGGTTACGGACGCTCGTACACAAGTTTCAAGTATTCCCAACTAGTCTTGTCGGCAAACAGTATTGAAGTCTGCAGCTCCGTAAACGTGAAGGTGTCTGTTCAGAACGTTGGGGACGTTCAAGGAGATGAAGTCATTCAAATTTACGTGGAGCCTCCGAGAATATCAGGAAAACCGTTTATCCCCAACACACAGCTGGTTGGCTTTGAGCGAGTCGGTCTTGCTCCGTCTGCAAGCCATACAGGGAATTATGAGGTGAATGCCTACTCTCTGTCCCTGGTGGACGAGGACGGGGAACATTATGTATTTCCAGGCCAGTACACAGTTGTCGCCACTGGAGGTGTTGGAGACAGACTGACTGCCTCCTTCTCCGTAACAGGAACAATCACTAATGTCAAGGACTGTAAGGGAGTACCACCCTGCTTTGGTTGTTGAGTTCAAATATATCTCCTAATGCAGTCTTATACATATACATAATGCTTGGGCGTTAATGCGCATGCGCATTTAGCGAGCCCCGCCCGCCGATATGCGTGCAGGCTGGCGATCGCTGCGTTCCCGCTGGGTTTTCGTTTCACTTGCACTCGTCATTGGAGCAGTGGTGTCGTACTGGCTGGCTCCACACTATGCCCTCGCAAAGAAAGTGAATCGGCTGCAGTCACTCAATCAGCGACTGCAAGAAGAAATCGCTAGACTGCAGCGACCAGCGGTGGGCGTATCCACAGACGAGGGCAGAGTGGGCGAAAGAGCTGGCGAGCACGACAATGCCTACGACACTCTGGAGAAGTGGGAAAGTGTCAGAAATTCAAGATGCGAAACAATACATATTGGGTTCATTGCGGCGGGCTACAACGCCAGCCGTCAAGTGGCCACCGTCATGAAGACAATTCTCTTCCACAGACACAACCCTCTTCATTTTCATTTTGTATCCGACATTCCAGCAAAGCATATACTAGGTACACTGATGAACACTTGGCAGCTACCGGCAGTAAACTTCAGTTTCTATGATACTGAGCCTTTGGAAGAGCGCATATCTTGGATACCAAGCTTCCATTACTCCGGTGTGTATGGACTAATGAAACTTGTTGCACCGCAGGTGTTTCCGTGGAGCATAGAGAGCATCATTATGCTTGATACCGATGTAATGCTCAATTCCGACATAGCCCTTCTGTGGCACTTTTTCGTGGACATCAAAGAGAGGAGGAAGCTGCTGGGGATCGTGGAGAATCAGAGCAACTGGTATCTTGGGAGTCTGTGGGAAAACCATCATCCGTGGCCGGCAGTGGGACGAGGATTCAACACAGGAGTGGTTCTGCTCAATCTGGAAGAGATGAGGAGGCAGGGGTGGGATAGTATGTGGTCTGGCGTTGCTCGAATGCACGCGAATCCTGCTGCTCTTGCCGACCAAGATGTTGTTAATGCCGTTATCAAGGAGTATCCCCATATTCACCTCATTCTGCCATGTGGGTGGAATGTACAGCTGGGTGATAACTCTCGTAGTGAATTCTGCTACCAAAATGGCGAAAGTTTTCATATCATTCACTGGAATTCGCCTAATAAAATGAACGTGGAGAAAAATAACGGAGCCTACTTCAGACTCATGTACAATGGATTTGTTCAATACGATGGAAATCTCCTTAGACGTGAACTCATTACCTGCAGCTCATTTGAAAACAATGTTGCAAGGGGACAGTCCCCGAATCAAACCCGTGACGCGTGCTCTGCGTTCAGAAACGTGGCAAAGTTGCAACTTCGTACTCACCCATTTTTCATTGGAAATATTATATCCAAACCCAATGCAGTTACCCTGATATCACAGTTATCAATGGATAGACTGCAGATGTTGGAGCCACTCTGTCGCTATTGGAAGGGACCAATGAGTGTGTCGGTGTATGCGTCCGATTCAGAAACTATTAAACTCTCCAACTACGTTACCCGTCACGAGTGTTTCCAACAAAGAAACGACATATCACTGCATATTGTGTATCCAGAGAGTAGTAACCTCTACCCCGTAAACTACCTCCGTAATGTGGCTCTGGATCATCTCACCACAAAGTATGCACTTCTCCTGGACATTGACTTTATCCCCATGGTTGATTTACACGACTATCTCTTGGAGGCAACGCGAGTTCTTGGAGCCGAAAAGAGGGCTCTTGTAGTCCCTGCTTTCGAAACACACCTCTACAGACTCGATTTCCCACAGAGCAAACCGGCCCTTCTGGAGATGCTCGAGGCAGGGTCTATCAAGCCATTCAGATATAATGAATGGCCGAAAGGACACGCGCCGACAAACTATCAACACTGGAAAACTGCATCGCGTCCCTACAGGGTAAACTGGGCACCTGATTTCGAGCCGTATGTCGTATTACAGTGGCCGTTTGCACGGTACGATACCAGGTTCGTGGGGTTCGGATGGAATAAAGTCTCTCACATAACGGAACTGCATCATGCTGGCTACGAGTTTGTTGTCCTGCCCGAGGCTTTTGTCATTCACATGCCTCACAGTCCTTCCCTTGATATATCCAATTTCAGATCGAGTTCACTCTACAGAGATTGCTTACAAGTTTTAAAAAGGGAATTTCAAGAAACGCTCAAGTTGAAATACTCATTTGGACACTCGTGATTAATTCACACACCATGATCAATTTTTGTTTCACGACAATGTAACTACTGCAACTGAAAATTCGGTGCTGTACAGAACGTAAACAATAACAAAGAAAAAACGTGAAAGGTGATGTTCTGTTCAAGCATGCCTATCAATAGTAACTGCCTATCATGAGTCAAGTTACCACTTACATTATAGATCTGTGTACAAATATACACATACTCCAAACAATGACTAGCTATAGATTAGCGTGAGAAGCAGACGGGTCCGAATTCTACAGCCATAGCTTCGTTACTGCCTGAGCCCAGCCATAAGCTAATGTCGGTGACTGGGAGCTGTCGTGGTCTCCGCGTGCTGAACTTGAAGTTACTGCTGGCACCAGCTGAAGATGCCTCCTGTATGTAAATGGATAGGGAAATATTTCCACTCAGAATGCCTCCTATGGAGTGATGAATAGAGCTGTTTAACGCACCGAGCAACCACCGCTGTTAGTGCTGGGCTTAACGGAAGAACCAGGCTTCATGGTGTGGAACTTCAACTCCGTGTCGCTGAAGGCCAAGTTCTGGCAGTGCACGGTGACAGCTTGCTCGGCACGTCGACTGGTGATTTGTAGCATTTTCAGCTGAACTTTGCTGATGCTGTAAGCAACCTACAGAAGTGGATAATAATATTATGCTCAGTCTGATGGTATCAAAAGTATCATACCTTTTTGGCAAATACATTGCTGATGGATTGGTACACTCTTTCTGCAATATCAGGTGACTGAAGCGACTCGCTCTAATGTGACAGTGAAGTTGGCCATGAAAATCTGCGTTAGCAAAACTCGTAATAGTTACCCATGTCTTTGCATCGATGCAAGTGGCACAGCCGTTGTCCTCGTAGTCACAGTCAACTTGGAATGCATCAGCAGAGCACCCTCCGTTTGGATCAATCCAATACGTCCCTGTGTTTCAAGTTGAACTGAGAATGTATCCACACTGGTCATCTCTACTGAGCATACCGCTGGGGATGTCAGGATATTGTTCCTTAAGGTCACAACAGGACCTTGCCGGGAATGACCGAGTCCCATTTGGCATTGTCAGTAGCTCGGCATAGCGCGTCATGTTGTCAAGCTGTACTATCATGGAAAGCATCTGAGAGAAGATATGCAACGTTTTAACCACGAATTTGAAGTGGGCTTGTGTGTATCACATACAGACTGGATGAAGGTGTCACTTCCAGAGATGTAGAAGCTGCTCTTTTTGCTGGTTGCAGCTAGAGCAGGTGGTCCAGCGTCGCCCTAATATGTACCCCACAAAATAATAGCACAGCCAAGTTCAAACACTAAACTTACTCTTGGTCCAGGCACTCCGTCCTTTCCGCCGTCGCCCTTCAAGAAATGAGCACGGAAATTAAAATCTCCCTGTTTTTTCGATACTAGTGTGCTTACCGTAGGTCCATTCTCTCCAGGTGGTCCAGGTTGTCCCTTTAGTGTAATTCAAAGCGGGTCAAAACACAAGGGATGGCAGCGAATTCATAAAGTATAATATTATACAAACCAGTGGTCCAGGGAGTCCGTCGACACCAGATGTACCTGGCCAACCAATGTCTCCCTTGTGAAAAAATTACGCCTTTTAAAACTTTCTGCTCAAGTAGTAGTGAACCGTAATAAACTCACTTGAGGTCCACGTGGGCCAGCAGGCCCAGTGTCACCAGGACGACCATCGCGACCCTGCATTACAAGATTCGACTCGACTTTCCTTTCATATGCACAATTAAGGATTGGCTACCTGTAATCCAATAAGTCCCTTGTCGCCTTTAACTCCTGGTGGTCCTTCCCGGCCCTATATACATAATTACACTTTTGTGAAACACTCTCCAAATTTATTGTGAAGCAAAGCAAAACTTACAGCTTCTCCTAAAAGTCCCTTCTCGCCAGGCTCTCCGGTTGTACCAGGAGCACCCTGCAGGCATTGTTCCAATAAACAAGGGAGGATAGGGAGGGCTCTATCATGTCCTAACCCGTGATCCTTGGAGACCTTGGAAACCAGAATCTCCAGTGGCTCCTCGGTTGCCCTGCAGCCAGAGTTTCCACTTTCAATTATAAGGAGTACGAGTGTTTATTTGACTGTACTGGTTCTCCAATTGCTCCTCGCACTCCAAGAATACCTGTAGCTCCTCGTGATCCCTACGGGTTTTATATGTGTTACAGTCACGCCCTAAACCCATGTGTAGCTATACCTTCGAACCAGGGTCTCCAGATGGGCCTTGGGCTCCTGGCTCGCCAAACTCACCCTATAGGAGGAAAAACACATTGAACTGTCAGGAGCATTGATAAACCCAGCAACGTATATACCACTTCTCCCGGAACACCAGAGTTACCAGGATCACCTTGAGCACCAGCAAATCCCTAGAGAGAAATCCAGGGCCTTATCACATCACATTACACACCACCAGAGCCTCTTTTCCTACCGTCTCTCCCAAAGGTCCCTGAGTTCCTCTGGGGCCCAAATCTCCCGGGGGACCCTATACAAATTACAGCACATTGAAAGTCAGAAAAATACATAGGATTACTTGGCCTCCAGCCTCTCCAGCAGCGCCAGGGGTACCGGGGCGACCTCTGAAGCCCTTTGGACCTTCTCTGCCAGCTACACCAGTCTGACCAGTTGTACCAGGTGGTCCCTGAACAAAATGGAAAGTGAGAATCATGACGTTTCATTACACCGCAGTGATAATTAGACCCACAGCAAGGCCAGGCGATCCTCGTGGACCAGGTTGTCCAGCAGGTCCTTTGATACCCTATACATACACAAGAAAAAACTCTAAATATTGTACATATATATACATCCTACTGCTACTGACCCTCTGTCCAGAAGGACCAGGATCACCCCTGCTTCCCCACAAACCAACAGCTCCCTGTGTTCAAGTGTAAAAGTTTCTTTGCAGATGTATGCACTACAGCTCCTTACGGTTGGACCAGGCTCCCCTGTTGGCCCCCTGTCCCCGGGCTCACCAGGTTCACCCTACACAACATCCACCATTCAACAATATCCAAGGATTTTCATTCATGGGTTTAACCTGCTCTCCCGGTGAACCAGGATGACCAGCATCGCCTCTTCGACCATTTGTCCCTGTTAGTTTCGATTAAATCCCGAGTTTGTTCAACTCAACCATTGAAATTCTCACATAATCTCCTTTGCTGCCTCTAGTTCCAGCAAGGCCGTCTTTCCCTACCAATCCCTATATTATGTCAATGACAGAGATTTTCACTTATCCACGTTTCTCCACACATCCACAGCTCTTCTGAAGCTCACCCTTGTTCCTCTGTCGCCCCTCTCTCCTCTGTCACCAATGATACCAGTTGGACCCTGTTATTAAGTAGCGGTTATCAAGTTGGAAAAAGTCGCAGTGAAAACTGACCGGTGTTCCAGGCTGTCCATCTCTTCCCTCTGGTCCTTGGTCCCCCTTGCCCTCCCTGGTCTCCCTTCTCGCCCTTTGACCCCGATTCCCCACTGGCACCTCGCTCACCCTTGAATCATGTACGCTAGTAGTCGAACCACTACAATCACTACAAGCAATCCCTCACAGTGTTTCCATTAGGGCCACGTGCTCCGATATCTCCTGAAGGTCCATCATTACCCTATGCAAACAAATTTTAGAAACAAGGACAATTTTTTCCTGCAGTGCTCTATATCATACCTTGGATCCGGTGTTTCCAATGGAACCAGGTTCGCCTCGTCTTCCTGGAGGTCCTGCACGACCCAAGGCTCCCGTTGCTCCAGATACACCCGTATCACCTCTTGAACCCTTCCAGATAGTACAAGGCAGTAAGACAACGTGTCGAGACTAGCCAACTATACTCACTCTTTGTCCGTCACCACCGTCCACACCTTTATCCCCAGCTTCACCCTTTGCACCCTAAATTTCAGTGGTAAAATCAATAGTGGTGAGCTGATACCCTCTTGTTCATCTACCGTTGGACCTCTTTCCCCATCGGCTCCGTTAATGCCATCTTGTCCCGGTGTTCCCTGGGTTTCATTCAACAGTGTAGGTTACTAGATGCACAGAGTATTCAGTGTTGTACAGCCGTACATGTTGTCCCTGGGGTCCAACTGGTCCGACGGTTCCTGGTTCTCCACCAGTTCCCTGGGAAGCAACGAGTTCGACAAACTCGTCTAAATCTCAAATTCATTCATACGTCTTGTCCAGGTGAACCTGATGCTCCTGGGTTGCCAGTCTCTCCTCTTGAGCCCTACGTATCATTATCGCCGTAGCCCCACCATTATGGCAAAGTATAGATTCCCTAACTTGGTCACCGGGGTATCCAGCTTGTCCTCTGTCTCCCCGGACTCCCTGCAGAATAACAGGTATTAGTCCCAATCAAAACACACGTAACTATCCTCACATCTTGGCCTGCAGCTCCTGACAGCCCTGGATTTCCTGGTGCCCCCTTTAGGAACACAAAGTGCAATTTTAAATGCCACGATCATGCATAAAGATAGGTTTTGACACTAACAGTTGCACCGTCCTTTCCGGATTTACCAGGTTCACCAGGTGTACCTGGATCACCCTGGTAGAGAAAAAAGCTCAGTCAGTATAATATACTCAGTATGTTTCCTGCTGCAAGTAAGAAATGACTTACAAACTTCCCAGGAGCGCCGTCCTCTCCTCTCAGTCCGTTTTCTCCACCTTCTCCCTGAAATTACAACAGCTATAATCTGTTCACGCCAACTAGTGCTGTTCTAGACCTGAGGCCCTTGCGCTCCAGGGCCTCCTGGTGTGCCATTGTCACCATCCAAACCCTTTCAACATCAGTTTCTTCATTAATGACGAATAAAGAATATTAAACATGTAAACCCACTCTTGATCCACGAGGTCCAGCAAATCCTCTGTTTCCTGGAATTCCAGTTGCTCCCTGTACGGGTATCCAATACACCATCAGAATGTTCATTTCCCTGAAAAAGTATGTATAGTGTTTACAGTCGATCCTCTTGCACCCTGAGATCCTGAATTTCCAGGAGAGCCTTGCAAGCCCTGAAGAGAGCAAATGCATCATAACCACTGTAAGAGCTCTCTCAAGTGTGCAGTAACCCACAGGTGATCCAGGAGGTCCCAAATTTCCAGGCTGTCCAACATCACCCTTGAAAAGAAAAATTCACCAATGTCATTTAGCAAACGTCTGAATTCAGTGGGAATTGCATTACAGGCAGTCCGTCAAAGCCAGAAAGACCTTGAGGACCCCTCTCTCCTGTCTCTCCCTATATACCATAGATGTTATTTCGTTACACACTTTCTAAGGAAAAGAGTGGACTTTACTTACAGGTGATCCAATTGTGCCAACCTCTCCAGCTCTTCCTTGAGGACCCTACATACAAATTCACTTACGGGGGGAGATTATATGTGATGAAAGGAGTTTACCCTGCCTCCAGGACTTCCATTCTCTCCAGGAATGCCCGGGTCACCGTCAACACCAGGAGAACCAGCAGAACCGTCAAATCCCGGCTGACCAGGAATTCCACCCGGCCCCTATACAGCATAGTCACTTGTCACTAGCCTAGTATAATTTGTGCATGCAGTTGACTTGTATGGATTGCCTTTGCCTTTCTACCTCGTTGTCTACATGCAGTGCCACCCACACCTTGTCTCCCGGTACTCCAGATGTTCCTGCCGAACCGACCGCACCCTGTCTGCCTTTGATTCCATCATAACCGTCTCTTCCAGGGATACCATTGGTTCCTTGGAGACCTCTGGTTCCTCGCTCTCCCTTGAGCCCGAATACTCCAGGCAGACCACTGTCACCTGCAAACGACATTACAGGAGATTTGTGTGTGGATAAGAAAACTGTGGAGACTTGTGTGTTGCGTTTTCACCTGGTATTCCCCGTTTTCCAGGATATCCGTGTGGCCCACGGCTACCTGGCTCTCCTTGTGGCCCTGGGACACCCGCAAATCCAACAAAGCCATCCTCTCCCTGCACATAAGACGCATTCCTCACATCATAAAGGACTCGCAATGTATGGATGGTAGCAAACTCACAGCTGGACCGGGTGGCCCTTTCAATCCTTGCTTTCCCTCCGGTCCTTGTCTACCCTGAGAGCCTCTTCGTCCAGATTTACCATCAGTACCATCAATTCCCTAAAAAACCTCTAATAATTGTCAATATCCAGTGGGAAAACTGTTAACTTACTGGTGATCCTTGTGGGCCACTCTCCCCGTTTCGTCCAGCAGTACCCTACACATTAATGAGTGACTTATCTTAGAGGGACTAAACTACTAGTAGTACCCATACCGAATTTCCCTGGTTTCCAAGCGGTCCTGGTGCTCCAACTGGGCCAGGTGGTCCCTGTTATATATCAGTGTGTTATTGAGCACATTTATGGAGTATTCTTCATTACCTGGCCACCTGGCTGTCCTGTGAGTCCAATAGGTCCTGGCGATCCCTGGGCAATAAGAAAACAGGGTCCATTAAATTTGGATAATGTGGTGTACACTCACAGGTGAGCCTGGTGAGCCTACAGGGCCTCTGTCTCCAGAAGGGCCCTCTACTCCCTAATGACAGGGTAAGTATTCATTAGACGTGGCTTGCTGTCGCTATTGTCATACATCTAATCCAGGCGGTCCTCCATAACCCAATGGTCCAGGGTACCCCTACGAAGAGAAAGCAGTATAATTATACAATGTTGCATGCAGAGTGTGGATGCTCACAATAGCACCAGGTGTTCCGTCTTCACCAACATCTCCAGCATGTCCTTCTCGGCCCTTGAAAATGAGGATTATTCGACTCTGTATAATATTATGGATGCTTTGATTATCTCACAGGATGTCCAATGAGTCCAAGTGGTCCAGTTCTCCCCAAGTCACCAGGATTGCCCTAGGTGCAAAACGAGCACAAAGCTCACCATTGTCCTTAGCTATGTCTTTTGTTCTAAGGCCTTTGTCTACGGCTACTCTTGAGGCATCTAGCGGTACTCTAGTAGCTGGTTTCCTTGAACTAACATAAACCGTGCTATGCTAACAATCCTACGCCACAACTCTGAACAAAGCAAATGGACAAAGAAATCACCCTGTCTCCTCTTGATCCCACTTTTCCAGCATATCCTTTTGGTCCAACCCATCCCTACAAAAGAGGAAGCAAATAATGAGGGGCTGGGGTATGCAAAGTAGAGGTATTTCTAACTCTTCTTCCATCGGGGCCTGGGAATCCATTGGTACCTGGAGGTCCACGGGGTCCCTGTGGGTAAACGGAAACACAAACCTTCAGGGATTGACAAGGAAATAAAAACTTACAGGTGGTCCATCGTTTCCTGGTGTGCCTGGAGATCCCACATACCCTTGAGGCCCCTGTGTAGTTGGGAGAGGAGTTTATTATCAAGCAATGCATGGGCAGAAACTGCAACTCACGTATTGTCCCATGTTTCCCTCCGTTCCAATTGGACCTGGGTCTCCAGGCTGGCCAACTGGGAGAGGGATTGGCCCTGTGAAATCATTCAAGGGCCCTTTGCCTCCTGCACCAATGTCTTGATAGACTTCCTACACGGGACAATTAGCCAACTATGACCCACATCTGTAGCTACGAATCTTAAAAATAAAAACCTGAGAATAGAGTGTTGCTCCCGGTGGGCCGGGGATACCAGGAAGACCAATAGCTCCAGACACTCCCGGTATACCCTTTATGACAATATAAAAACTGTTTGCCACAGGAAAATTGGAAACTAACATGATCTCCTGGTCGTCCGTCGTATCCTGGCTGGCCTGGAAGACCGTAGTCACCCTGAGGTTATACACACCACAGCCACTCAGTGATCAGACACTATAAAAAAAATTTTTCTTCACTTACTGCTATACCTTGTCGACCAATCGCCCCCTTTGGACCTGGCTATATTTTAATAGAATGCACAGAATTAGATCTCACGGAACCATGTATTTGATTTGTACTCACTAATCCACGAAATCCATATCCCGCGTTTCCTGGTTCTCCCTGTATTAATTATCACACTTTACACTGAACAGTCAGAAAAAAGAATATTAAAAGTTTTACCTCATCACCGCGTATGACAATCTGAAGGATAGAGACAAGGAAAGCAGATTAGCACAAAATTTTCCACAAGCTACAATATTCTAGCCTCATTACCTAACTACTACCTGCTACAGTATCTGCTCACATTATTCCCAAGCTCTGCAATGATGTCGGCAAAAGGGTTTACTGTTACAATAGGCGATGTTGTATCGTTGGCTTGTCTTTCGGAATTGATGTCTATCTCTGGTTCCGGTTTGTCCGCAGTAGGTGTCTCCACCTATAAATGAGGATCTTATTTAGGATGCTGCGAAATTATGTGTAGGTAGCACTCACAGTGATGCCACAGACTGCTCTGTCCAAATCGGTGCAAAATATGGCGGCACCCGTTTGTGACAATTCTTCAGCATCGCTATCTGGGAAGTATACAAACTCTGAGACCGTCAGCGTCCCCTGAAAAAGATCACATTTAAAGCAGCAGTGAAAGGAAATTATGGCCACAGTTTTAGAGAATTACGGTGAATTCAGACTCCAGCATGCCAATCTCCACAGTTTCATCGCATACTACTGTGCATCCCGACACAAATAGGTGTGTGTGGACTTGGTTGCAGTCCAAGTATACGACAATGAAGCTTTGATCGACTGCTATAGCAAGTCGGTGCCATACTCCTGTTTCTAGTGGGTTGTTATCACCTAGCGGAATTATCAATTGCAATGTCCTGCAGTCACTGAATGCCAAGGTGACACTGTTTTGAATCATGTCGATCACAACTGAAAATTCATAGCCACTTCCATCGGAGATGTTCAGGAGGGTGAACCGCAGCCTCTCTTCTGCTTTGAACTTGAACAGAATGGAGAAATTTGACGCAAAATGGTTTCCTCTGCATATTTGATCTCCAGATAGTCTTGGATAATATTCGTTCAATTCAGACCGCACAGCATGCAGATTATAGTCGTCAAATTCAGGAAACCGTGTTGGATGAAACGGATACACGGCTTCATAAAAGAAGTCAATTGACCCTGCATTGGGAGAAACCACCAATGATTGTGTGTGGAGGCGTCTGGGCTTGTGCGCACGCGCGTGTAACCACGCCCTCCAGTACTTGGGCGTTAATTAGAATTTATCATTAAACCGCGCTTATTATAGCTAGCTAGCTACCGACACAGAATTCGATGGTTCGCACACAATTGTTAATGGAAAAAAACATTTTACATGCACAAATATATCATTACCTAAATGCATTGAAAAACAATATCACACCTTGCCGGTATCGTGTGCAGATTTCTTTCGTCCAGTTTGCATCGTGCTGGATTTCTGGCTCATACCAACCAATAGTCCGGTCGCCGGTAAAGTCGTACAGGGACTCATAGTCTGCATCGTCGATCAGCGTGTCCCCGGATTGTGCAGATGTCTCGAGCACTAGCAGCGCGAGGAACAGCACCGATATTGCAAGTCTAGCCATGCCTACAGCTAGGTCGCTGCAGCTCAAGGCGTACTGCAATATAATTTTTCTAATTAGGGTCCTCTTCCCTACGCTTCTGCAGTTGTACGCAGAAGCGGTAATACGGGATTATGCGACCGCCATTTTTCCCGCGCTGCGCCCCGCCCTCGTTCGTGACACAATGCGACATTGTATATACGGCCTGGCCGGCCTGCGATTTTTGCAGCGCCAAACAAAGGTCCAGCCAATTGAAGTCTGCTTCTGTAACAAAAGAGAGGCCGCTCGTTCGACATTCGAAGTTTCACGTTCTCGGGTACTGGTGAATGGTTCCAATCCCAGGAACGGCTTGCTGCTGCGAAATTTCGCAAGAGCGGCCGCCACAGTGCGCGTCACACTTGTTTCGCATCGTCACAAATATGCAAAATGCATTGAGAAATGTTTCTTCTAGTAACATACTATTAAAAGTACTTTATGTATAGGGCGAGTATTGATATTAGCGGCTCAGTAAAAGCATGCTGGTCCCATCACAAAGCCAAATTCTTGACCACTCCTTCCACTGGTAGTGGCCGAAAAGTCTTTGAGAGGTAGTTGGTCAACCTTCTTTGTGTCTACTTCCAGAATGGAAACATCTGGAACTGAATGTCTTGACTGTGGATGCAAAGCAAATAGAACAAGGCTGGGGTAATTATCAGCAACTAAGTGTTTATATAGCTATGTATATACCTGACATCCATTGTAGAGGGTCTTAGTAGCACTGATTTCTTTTCCATTGCTTGCACGGAATACAAGAGAGTCTACTGAGTTGTGACATATGTACTTGAAGCTCTGCGATGCGTGACGAGAACCAGTTCTCAGCGACTGCACTTGGCTCTTGGGTATACCATACGAAAGCTTGAGGAAACAAAATAGAGCATGTCATATAATATGTGTGCTTTTGTCCTTCAGGTGATGAATATTTAGTAGCAGCAATGTATTTATTACTTTGAATCCTCCAGAGAGGTCACTGAACCAAATCGATTCTTCGGTCCAGTGTCTACCGTCTGCAGTGTCCTGCTCAGGTAGAAGACACGTTTTTACAGCCTCCCCTGTGAAGTTGCAGTGCACGGCTACGGCATCACTCCTACATCCACCATTGGGATCGATCCAGTAGAGACCTGCCAAGATTCCAAAGTAGAAAAATGCTTTTGGTAGCTACTTAATGCTATGTATATACCGTTTGATATTTCAGGATCATCCAAAAGGAGATCCAAACAACTTCTAGCTGGGCTTTCTTTACTTCCAAGTGGACTCTTCAGATTCAGTAGTTTCATATGAACTTCAATCACTTTAGTCAGAGACTCGAGATTGACATCCTGTTAAAATGCATAATAATTATCATAGACTAAAATGAAAAGCAATGGTCATACTTCGCCTTCATCAGCAAGTCCCCTGTAAAAACGACTCCCATTACTAGCCGGAGGAATCGGGAACGAAGGCGAGCTCTGTTACAAAAATGAAGATAGGTTAATATTTTCACATTAGTTGGTGTGGATGTAAAAATAACTCACGGGCTCTCCAGGAGGTCCCTGTAAAAACACAGTCACATAAAGAGAGAGCAGAGTCGTCATTAATAATATCATCCACAATACAGAAAAAGGTTTGATAAACTCACAGGAAGACCAGAGTTTCCACCGACCCCCCTATCGCCTCCCTCTCCATTTCCTCCCTTGGGACCCTTTCGTCCCGGAGGTCCACTACCACCACTGAGACCACGAGGTCCCAGGTCCCCTTCTGGTCCTCTGTTACCGACCGCTCCGAGTGGTCCAGGGGGACCTGGCTCTCCAGACATACCCACTGGTCCCTTGAATCCTTGTGCACCTAAAATACCCTTATCACCAACAAGTCCCTGTGTGTATATATAAGTGTATTTGGGATGAATGTTCCCTTGGTCAAATCATATCCAAAGACTCACTTTTATACCAGCTGCTCCTTTCTGCCCCTTGCTCCCATGTGATCCGGCAGAACCGCTTGGACCTTCAGATCCTGGTGCACCTGGTGGACCAGGGGGGCCTTGGGGACCCTGCATTATTTTTTTTAAAAACCACTAAACATAGAGTGGTTTGGACAGTGGTATATAAAAACCTTTTGTCCGGAGTCTCCACGGTTTCCACGAGGTCCAACACTGCCGTCTGGTCCGGAAAGTCCGATAGAACCGGGTGGGCCCTTCCGTCCTCCTTCTCCTCGCAGCCCATCTGAACCCTGTGAACCTTTCGGCCCGTCTCTGCCAAGAGGTCCACGTGGACCGCTGTCTCCATCAAACCCTGGGAAACCCGGCTCTCCTTGAGCCCCTGGATCTCCCTAGAGCGTGATAATATACAACTCATCTTTTTCGATGATTATTGTTGAAAAAGCTTACAGGTGGGCCATTTTGTCCTGGAGGACCAGAAAGTCCTGAAGGTCCATCTTCACCCTGAGATAAAACAACACACCTCGAGTGCTATACAATATTCAGAAGAGCATGTCAAGGGGAGGGGAGTTGGTCGATCTCTCTCAATTATCTATCTGTGCTTCCATACCGGATCTCCTTGTCCTCCTCGGGGTCCCTTTGGTCCCTGTTCGCCAGGCCTGCCTTGGTCTCCAGCATTTCCTGTTTGACCTACCTCTCCCGCTACTGTACCGGGTAGTCCCTGCATAGGAATAGGCACATTCATACCACACTTACACTCACAGGAACAGAGACACTGACTGTTGGTCCTCTTGCTCCAGGAGCACCAGGGGAACCAGGGCTTCCATTTCTTCCCTGTTAGTATCAATACAGCTTCGCTAGAACAAGAGACTCAGTGTTCAGTACTTTACCGGTTGTCCATCATGACCAGTGCTTCCCTTTGACCCGTCGGTTCCAGCTTCTCCTGGCTCGCCAATAGGTCCTGCAGGCCCAGTAACTCCCGCTCCGTCATCCCCCACCACACCATCCGCACCTCTCATTCCCGGTAGTCCAATTGGACCATTTGGACCCTGTTTTTTTTAACATTAATAATAATACTATAGTATTACTGCACAAATATCACCCACAGTTAGTCCGGGAGCTCCTTGGTTTCCAATATCTCCATGTTCACCAGGATCCCCGTGACTAGCTTGCGGGCCTGGGTCACCATCGGCCCCAGCTGCACCTACTGGTCCCTATCATTATATCAAGAAAAGACTTTCACCCCAGTACTATCGTAGGGTGTAGTGTACGCTCACTGGAAGACCAGGCAAACCAGTGCTTCCATCTTCTCCCCGAGGACCTTGCTCTCCTCTGTCACCAGTACGACCTTGTGCACCAGGAAGTCCAGGCAAACCAACATCCCCCTGTATTCGATAGTAATCAAGACGGGGAAGTCAACATTGTATAAACGTTCCAGTAGACAATGCTTTTTTGCTGCCACTAAATATGCAAAGAGGAGGCAAATCACAGTTGAAAAGGTAACAAAATGGCATGTGTAAACACAATCTCAACAAAACAATGTGAGGAGGTACTGTATATGCATCCATCCAGAGCTCTGTTTGTTGTGTATATACCGGTGTTCCAGGTGACCCTGCTGAGCCGGCAGGTCCCTGTGGACCGAGTGGTCCCACCGACCCTCTCTGTCCAGTTTGTCCTTGCGGTCCTGGTGGTCCTTGGTCTCCCGGTGAACCAGGGAGACCCTGCTCTCCTGCGGGACCTTGCGGCCCCTTAAAGCCCTGTCGTGATTTGATAATGTTGATGATATTGAGGAATCTTATCATTGACCTAATTCTTTTACCTGTCTTCCTGGATTTCCAGCATCTCCAGGGTCTCCTCCCTGACCTCTCGGTCCCTAAGAACAATTTATTGATTTTTGAGGTCTCCACAAGCAACATTAGTTGATGTCTGTCTTACGGGTTCTCCTTGAAATCCAGTGTGCCCGGGTGGTCCCGTTTCTCCTTGTGCACCCTGGGAAGAGAGATTGTGCTCATTCACAAGGACCCATGCTCAAAGTGAAGTATATTGCTGGTCACATGACTTCTGACCAATCAGCTTTGAGTATAGCTCACCTGAGGTCCGTCATCTCCTGACTCTCCCTGGGAGCCTTGTGGACCAGTTCTTCCCGGTTCTCCAGACTCTCCTCTCTCGCCAGCAGCTCCTGGCTGCCCTCGATCTCCACTCTCTCCTTGCGGACCTGTTGTACCAACTACTCCCTTCAAAGCAGGAGAAAGAAGCAATTTTTACACTTGACGGAGAGCATTGACAACATACAGGGAATCCCTGTGGGCCGTCAGCTCCAACTTGCCCTGGGGGTCCAACATCTCCCTAAGAGAAATATCATTACATCATAGCACTCAAGTCAACGCTACTTAAGTGAGGACGTGCGTTGTCATTCAGCATTTTAATAGTGAGACTGCTGAATGAAATGGAATAACTTAAAACTTGGACTTCCTGCATTTATTGGTCACTGTACACAAAGGTTTATAGGTTTCAGCCATAGTATATACCTGGTCTCCAACTACGCCTTGAGGTCCAGGAGGACCCGACAGTCCTGATTGACCCTGAAAGAGTATAGTTTACACACCTCATCACATTGTCAAACTTCTCAGATGAACTCTTACTCTTTCGCCATCAGGTCCCTTTGATCCTGGTTCACCGGTAACCCCTTTTGGCCCGGATGATCCAGCAATGCCAGGTAAACCGGGAGTTCCAGATGCACCGGACTCACCCTAAACCACACAACTCGTTGAATCCGACTCCACTTCTCGTTAGTATAGTAACTTACCCTCTCTCCTGATGATCCAGGCGGTCCTTTTGGTCCAGGGGGTCCCTGTGATCCAGCATCTCCTGTCGGTCCCTGATCCCCATCGTCTCCAGGTGGCCCCTAAAATTTTCAGGGCAGGTGTAAAATTTTCCTTTTTTTTTGCAACTTACAGTTTGGCCTGTCAAACCAGATCTTCCCGGTCTCCCATTCTTTCCTTGACTCCCAGTTGCACCTGCCTGTCCAGGCTCGCCCTGCTCTCCATCTTGACCCTGATTAGTTACCGTGTCACACAACACTCTGTGGATCATGGTTTTTCCAACGTACGTGATGACCCGGTAGACCAGGCGGTCCGGTTGTGCCAGGTTTTCCCGGTATCCCTGCAGCGCCCGGTCGTCCGTCTAGTCCAGGGATTCCCGCGGCTCCAGGCGGACCCTTGGTGCCGGCAGGCCCAGATGGACCTTGAGGACCAAGTGGGCCCTGATCTCCTTGTGGACCAGGCTCACCAGCAGAGCCTGGAGCACCTTGGTGTCCCCTACCACCCTATTGGAAATAATCGAGTGGATTCTCTATAAAATTAATGGAGAAAATGAAGGATGGTTAGCTATTATTGTGAAAATGGAGTCAAGAACCACTAACTCTAAGCAGTAGCTCACATGAAGAAATGTAATGTGAGGTCTGGCAGTGCATACAAAACCACACCAATAATGAATGTCACCTGTGGACCTTGATGACCAGCAGATCCCTTCTGTCCTCGTTTTCCCTGTGCCCCCTCTTCTCCCTGCAGCCCTTTTGGTCCTGCCATTCCACCTGGGCCCTATAGTGGGAAATGAATCTGAACTTAACCCACAGAGCCACGCTCATGACAGCTGTTATACCGTTACTCCAGGGGTTCCAGGGGGGCCAATTGGTCCACGTCCACCTTCAGTTCCCTAGTAATTAAACACAGTGTTTCCAAGAATCCAGTTGAGTCAGAAAGAATGAACTCACTGTTGGTCCCACGTCTCCAGGAAGACCAGGATTTCCATCTTTACCAGGGGCCCCATCCCTACCAGGAGAGCCTGAGGCTCCTATTCTGCCTGGACGACCCTATACAACAATAAACACCCTCATACCCCCTCTCTCCCAATGACAGATTCACTTACAGGATCTCCCAGCTCGCCCTGAGCTCCAGGAGAACCTGCTTCACCCTTTAGTAATATTGTAAGAAAAAGTGTGTTAAACAAAGGTTTCGATGTTCATTGTCTTGCTTACTGGAGTACCCAGCGCTCCTTGGGCTCCACTTGGTCCAACATTGCCATCTGATCCCTAGTAAAGAAGGACAGTAATGATTTCAGCCACACTCTTTTGTGTTATTTAGTCATTGTTCTTTTGTGCCAGAAAGTGTCGTCTATAGCAGTGGGCATCAATGGCAATATTTATGAACACTCTGCCACATACAAAGACAAAACAATGTCCGTTGCCATATGGACTACAATAAGCAGCAGGTATGGCAAACATGTGTTTGTGTGGTGTGTAATTTGCTCACTTTCTGCCCTTTTGGTCCAACAGGTCCCCTTTGTCCAGTTGGTCCCTGTTCATCATAACTTATGGGATAGTGGAATAATAAGGACATTCAGCATATATACCGGGAATCCGTCGGGTCCTAGTTGACTTTTTTCTCCCTTTGGTCCAGGCTCGCCCTGAGTGTTATGGTGTAGCTATGTAATACATCAGGTTCTGAACTGTACATACAGCTATTCCATCTGGTCCAATGGCGCCCATGAATCCTCTCCGTCCTTTCTTCCCCGATGCTCCCTGATTTCCACGGGGTCCTTGAGGCCCAGGTTCACCCTATATAGTTTTAAACAGCAACAGTTTTGAACGCACTCACAATAATATTATACTATTGTGGCATAGCTAGTAGCTACTCTGGTATGTACCTCGGCTCCTTTTGGTCCAGTTGGACCCTTGAACCCAGCAGGACCTCCGCGACCCTGTGTATAATTGATAATTGCCCAAGGAGTCTTAACCAATGACTTTCACATACTCTTGGTCCCGGGCTTCCAGGAGGGCCTTGTACTCCCGGTTGGCCAATGTCACCCTACGTTTTAAAATCAGATTTCACGACTGACTTTTAAAAATATCTACTAACAGTCTCTCCAGGTGGGCCTGGATATCCTGGATGTCCCTTTTGGCCGTTGTCACCTGCCATTCCTGCATCTCCCTTCATTCCCCCCTCTCCTGGATGTCCAGGGTTTCCCTAGCACAATAGCGGTCCCATTTTCATACAATATTTTTCACTGCATCATTGCATAAAATACCGCTGGTCCAGGAGGTCCTATTTGTCCAGACAGGCCTGGCTCGCCCCTGTCTCCCTAGCATCAGCATTTGAAACATTGTAACACTACAAGCATTTATGACTTTAAGGTGCATTATATTACCTTTATGCCACTTAGTTCGGGCGAAGGCCCTTTTGAGTCAAAAAATCCAGCTGGGAGAATCTGTGTGTGATGTTAAATAGCAAACCCATCATCCTGCTCATTAGTTTTGATATTCTTGCATACAGCAGGAGGTCCTGGAGTTCCGGCTTGGCCTTGAGGTCCGGGTCTACCAGGAACACCCTATGTTAATGCAGAGCGTTTAGTATTAGCTATCGTCCACTGTTAAATGTGTATATCTACCTTTCTGCCTACATCTCCATCTTTTCCATCACTTCCATCTAATCCAGAACTTCCCTGCATATTTCAGCGAGAGCATTTAATAATTTGCAGTTATCAGTTAAAATCATTTCTTACAGGGTCCCCTGGTGGACCAACGGGACCAGCCTGTGTAATGAAAAATCAAATAGTCAGAGAGCATGCGACCGGACAGTTTGTTAATTGTATTGAACTTACAGGTCCGATATTGTCAGCAGGCTCACCCGGTGGTCCAGGTGGGCCTCTCTGAAAGAGTCAAAATTGTTTCAACTTATTTCTATGTAGCTACATCACTTACGACAGCTGATACACTGTAAAACAAACACAGGGCAATCGATATGCACAAGATCCCCTTGTACATGATGCCAAGTGGTGGTGATTAACTCGAAGAACTAAAGCACTGTTCAGCCTACTAGTTCTCACAAGTTTTGTATGAATACTAGCACGACCCGCTGGCACTCTTTTTCATGCGGTTATGGCCAAAGTCTGCTCATTGGGCCAATATATTGTTGTAGGAAGTCCATTATTACTTCTTGAAAGTAAACAATAGGCCATAAAAGGCAGGTTTATACTGTTTGTTGTTGGCAGACAAAAGTAATTGTGAACTGTGGCGTAGCATATGTTGACCAGGAGCTAATGATCTGCTGTGGCTGTGTAGAGAGCCAAGTTTTTATGCTTCAATAGAAATAAGAATACTCTTTTGGGAGAGTGCTACAGTTTGGTAGTCTAAACTATAAGCTCGGAAACTTATAAATACCGCAGCAGATACACTTTCTAATCTCCCGCCAGATTATTGCGCACGATCGACAGGAGGGCTAGCTAGCTAGCATGTGATGTCCGCGCCATATCTTTGCGCGGCAATAGGACCTCTTGCGGCATTGCTGTCCGGCCTGTGAGGATGCATTGTTAGGCCGGCCTAGCAAGCCGTACGGTGATGACCCGCTCGGCCGGGATGCTCTGGCGCGAGCGCAACAATGCTGGCCGGTTGTGTGGAGTGCATAGTGGTCTCTGCCGCGCGGCGATGGTGTGCCGTGCGGACTGCATGGCCGTACGGTCTTATGCACGACTCCATTCGGAGCCGGAGACGTTCCCCCGACTTATCGTCTTTGCGGAACCGAACGGGGAAATAAGCGCGCTATTTACGAACGTCCCAGAGTGTGCCTGCATTATAA